CCTCCCCTAAAAATCCTGCGTTTGAAATTTTTTTTAAATCTTTTCAACGCTATCGCTCACGAGAAGACTTTTTTTTCGGGAAAGAAAACAAAAAAACAAAGGCAAAGGCATTTATTTAACCGACGGGAATCTGGGTTTTGAAAACCGGAAATAATGTATTTTTTTTTCCCCCATCGTGCAATTTGCTCGGAGTTTTGTGTTTCTTCTTTTTTTAAGGTTGAGATTCATTTAAAGTCAGTATCGATGCCATAGAATGCAGAACGCACTGCTCGAACCTCTCAGCCTCACCCACTCCTTACGTTATCTTCAAATCCCACTTTAAGTAATAATAATAATAATAATAATCCTTGCATTTGACATAGCGCTTTTCACGTCGGGAGGACGTCCCAAAGCGCTTCACAGAACACAAACCAACTCTTTCACCATTAAACGCCTCTCCTTTTGCCTTGACTCGGTATTCAGGGTGAAGGGCACGATATAAATGCAAGATGGCATTATAACCTGTCTGAATTCCTCGCTAAACGTGCAGCTTCTCAACCCTTCGGTCACACTTCACATTACGGAGCGCACTCGGGATTCTTTTTTGGTTTTTTTTCAAAAAAAAAACACCAAGGTTTTAATTCCCAGTTTCTGCTTGTTGGGAGTTTTGATGTTTTAAACCAGTCACAGCAACTCTATTCTTATAATGTGCCGAGTGATGAAATCCTCAGGGCCAATTGCACCACACGCGTGAGTTTGTGAGGCAACTTAATCTGCGGGGAGTGCATTGCGGGCACGGGAAGAGTTTTTACAGCTGAGGGGTAATTGCATTGAAATATCTTGCTTGTGCATTTTAACGTACCGTTGACTGGAGTCCTTAGATCAGCGTGGCTTAGTGGCATTTTATGATGCAGTGTACATAACAGTATTTGTTCCTGTTATAGGAGGGGCTCAAACACACCTCGAGTGACTGTGTGTATTTAAGGACCAATAAAGTTGTGTTTATCCACAATATTAAAAACCTGGTATTGTTCAGGAATTATTTTTTGCGTCAAATCAGGGAGGAGAGCTTGACGCAAACGCAGGTAAATTTGGTACGAACCGAGTTATGATTTCTGCCCATACGAAGGAAAGGGCCTAAAATGTTTCCCAACTACAACATGAAAACCCTCTTTTACTCGGATCGCAAGCAACAAATCTGAGTGATTCTAACAGTATAATTGGGTGCAGGAATAGGTGATGGAAATGTATTACATAACATTAGAGCCGCGAGTGCATGGTTTACACGTCGGGACTGTGATTACTCGCGTTTATAAATCCTGAGAAATCCCCCAAAATATCCGTTAGACTTCTTTAGGAAGAAATCATTTTTTTAACGAGATTTTCACCCAAAATGATTGTACGTTTGTGGGCGAACAGTGTTGCAATTAATGGTAACGTTTCAGCTGAAGTTTAACCCGTATTGTAAATGCCTAAATGGTGTCTTATTTTCCCTGTCCCCTTCGGGAAGAAATCTTGTATATTATTATAATTGGCGGTTTGTGTACTATATATAGGCGGGAGGCTTGGATGCTGCCAGTTGGTGTGTTGTTGTTGCACAGCATATTTAAAGAGAGAGCTGACTGAATCAGCCCTCCGAGGACCACTTGCTAAATTTTACCCACTTCTCTTCTCTAACAGCTTTGCTCTTGTTTTTTTTTTTTCGCGTTTGGTAAATTTACAAGTGAGCTAATTTTGTGAGCGGCTGCGTTCTTTGAAGGTGGTAAGAATGGCGGTGGCGGTGATGATGATGATGATAATCCTCGTCTTTGCTTTTGGTATAGCGCCTTTCACGACAGGAGGACGTCTCAAAAGAGCTGTAAAGGACGTGGAGTCCTGTAGCTCAGTGGTTAGAGCACTCGCCTTACAAGTGGGAGACCTGAGTTCAATTCCCGGCAGGTCAGGGCGAAACCTCGGGCAAGTTTCCTTACTCCATACAGAGCCTAATAATAATCCCTCCAAAACCTAAAACAATAATAAATTGGTCATTTTCAATCTACGACTGTTTGTGGGACATTGCTGTGCGCAATTGGCTGCCGCGTTCGCCCACAAATATACAGTCAATTCACTTTACAGTGTGTTCTGTGAAGCGCTTTGGGACGTCCTCCCGACGTGAAAAGCGCTATATCAAATGCAAGGATTATTATTATTATATTATAGACCGGCACCCCGCTGACCAAAATATAAGCGTCGATGTTAACGATTCCTGTTATGAATTGCTACAAGTAGCCCGCGCCTTTTTAAAGTGATGGAAAACTGGGAAGCAGAGAAGACAAATTCTTGGACTGGAGGAGCTAAAGGCAGACTTTGGAGCATAAGACTTTTTGAGTAAGTTGGCGGGGGGGGGGGTGGGTGTGGGGGGGCGTTTTAGACCTCAATTTTATGTTTTGGAAGGCTTCCAAAACTCAGCAGCAAGCGCGAATGGGTTAAAAAAATGCATCCGTTCTGGAGAGTTGTTTTTCTTTTTTTTTTCTTTCCAGTCATTGAATTATTCAGGTAGTGAATGCGACATTGACCCACTCTTCGGGAAATACGATTAAAGTTGCGCAGAAGTTCATGCCGACCGCACGGCAGTTGTGTGCGCTGGTGTGCCGAGGGGGGGTAAAAATAAAAATACCCCGTGTCGTGTTTGGACCCCGCTTTCCACAGAGGGTTTGATTTGCTCGTCGTTGCGTCAGAAAAGTTATTTTAGTGGGAGCAGGTCGAAGAGCGTGCACGTGGGAGAGTGGGAGCAGCACTTGACACGTTGGAAAGCGCTGCCTTAATGTGCTCTCCCACTGGTGAGGCCAATAATAATAATAATAATAATAATTACGATAATATCGGCTTGCATGTATTTGATCCAATCTACCGCAGCCAGTCCGAGTCCTCCAGCTGTTAAGGTAAAGGCAGCTCGGCGATCTTTGAGCGGTCTGCTTTTATTCTTCCCTCTTAAGACCTCTAAAACTGATCGGTGCCGTTCGGAATAGCTTCAGTGCATTCGGTAGGCAAATGACTTGGCGTAATTGTTTTCCCACTGTGACCACGTGGAGCAGTTTAGAGGGCTGTCTGCTCAGATATCGAACCCGCGACTGTCCAGCACCTTGGGACTTCCTTCTGGCCCGAACGGCGCTACGCCAATGCAATTTGTTGTTGTTTGATATCGGAGCCGAGAGCAGCAGTGGAATTGTTTGCGCAGGCGGATATCGCAGCCCTGCGTGTGTGTGTGTGTGTGTGTGCGCGTGTGTGTGTGTGTGTGCGCGCGTGTGTGTGTGTTTTTAGGCTCGCTGGCCTGCAGTAAGGAAAGGTAACGCTGCTGTAATATTCCAAGTCTGTTGTATAAATTCCAGATACGTTTTGCCATCGTCCAATGCACTTTGCCCCAATATACTTTTATTACAAATTCCTACGTTTGACTTGTCTTCCGTAAAAGTGGAGTTTGGAGGATGGATGTGAATCACATGTTAACCTGAACGCTTCTGTTCTGTGCCAGCAGACAAATAAATGCCCTTTGGATTCAACAAGTCTTTAGTATCTGGGTATACAGGATAGAGCACCAGGACTCTTGCCAATCTATGGTTTTACCCACAACCAGCTGCAAAGCGAACCTCCGCAGCAAGTATCGTAAACACCAGAACAGTAGCGGTGAATTTATCCTTAACTTTTATGCCCCGTTTTCTGATTTTTTTTCTTTTGCAAAAAGAAAAAGGCTTCCCACACGCTTCATACCAGGAGGAATATAATGTGGTGGTGATTGTTCGTGGCATGAATGTTTCCGTGGAATTTGTCACACTAGATTGGATTTTAGTGGGATTCTGTTTTTTTTTTTGTAAATTTGTATTTGTGCGTGTGTTTTTTTTAAAAAAAGAAAAGTTGATCGAGTTCAGCTATTTCGCCGATCAACAAAACTGATAGAAAATTAGTGTTGCAGCACTACACGCCGAAACTTATTTAAATCAGCAACGTTCGGGTTTGTGCTGAACGCAAAGCAAACATGTTTTTACAGTGGAATCGTGTAATACCGTGCGAGGGGAATTAGCCCATCGAAGGAGGGTTTGGGTAAATAAAGCGATGGCTTTATTGGCTGTTTGTCAGACGCTACTGATTGTGGTTTGCCAACAAAAACGCATCGTCGCTGCATCCTGTGAAGCACGTTTGAGACATCCTCTCTGAGGTTGTCTTCAGTTCAATTTATTTTCCTTTTTTTAATGTGAAGCCAGGGGAACATCATCATAATAATAATAATATTAATAATAATAATCCTTGTATTTGATATAGCACTTTTCATGCCTTCTAGACATCCCATGACTCTTAACTGCAGCGCTTTTCGATGACTTTGAGGAATTTTGTTTAAATACCTCATCTGAGGGACAGCAATACCTGATAAGGGTGTCTGTCTACCGTTGGTTGGGATCTTGTGTAACAGTTGAACTCTCTGTCCTGAGTTCAGAACTCGAGTCATTGTGAAACGTGAGGTTGATGCTTTTTTTTTAAAAAAAAACTCCAATTTTTCCAGACAAACAAATAATCGTTGTGGTTTGGCAACGGTAAAGATAGTTTTTTTTTCCCCCTTTCTCTCTCTCTCTCTCTCCCTCTCTCCCTCTCTCTCTCTCTCTCTCTCGGATGCTCGTCTCTGGCAACATTTCGCAGCGTTTACGATATCTGTTCAGCCCGCACGAAGCTTCACTTCTGTTTAGACGCGAGTGTTGCAGTGGTGTCGAACCAGCGAGACCAAAGAGCTCCGTTGTCGACTCGACCTCGAGATGTGTTAAGTGCCTTGGAATGCGCATCAGAATGTGTAATTCTTTAATGCAATCTGCAAATTGAAGAATTTATTGCCCGCTTTCGCTGGTTATTTTAAGTCCTTTTTTTTTTTCCCCCTGAGTGACTGGTTGCCGCACACGCTTACTGACCACAATAAGTGACGAATGGTGATTTTTGAGATTTGACTGTGCCCAGAGAAGTCCTGTATGACCTGTGCATCTCTTGTGTTTTTTTTTCAGCGCTCAAGAGGATGATCGGCCTATGTCCCCTTTTTATTTAAGGTACCCTTTTTTCAATTGACCACCTTCTTGCGCTTTCATTGACCAAAGGTCGGTTTGCCTTGTCGTACAGGCTGGGTTTATAATTCTGTATTCGCTGCTGTTGAGATGGTCAAGGGCGGTACTATAGAATTGAAATTTACTGAACGGAAGAAGGCCAGTCAGCCCATCGTTTCTGTGCTGGTCCTTACAAAGAGCAATCCTTGCTTTCAGTCCTGTTTACCTGCATTTTTCCTTTGCGGTTTACTCCTTTATAAAGCCAGTCCAGGATGTTTTGAGGGCTAGCAGGTCATTTTGATTAATTGAGTCGAGATAGTAGTCCAAGACTCTAGCCAGGCAAAGGACACTATACAAATGTAAGCTATCCATCCGTCCTCATACACGCTGCCTTTAGGTCAATAATCAGCAATACTTTGTCTTCTTTAAACTCATAACAAATATTCCCTCTTAGGAATATTCCTGTGTATATTTTGTTTAAAACGAGCGAAGTAAAGTCAAATGATTTCCTCGCTTGTTTTAAACGCCGGATGTCTGGGGAACTGGACGGAACACAGAAGCATAGGAATTAGGAGCAGGAGTAGGCCATTCAGCCCCGCCAGCCTGCCCCGCCGTTCAATAAGATCATGGCTGATCTTCTAACCCAACTCCATCTGCCCGCCTTATCCCCCTATCCCTTAATCCCTCTATCCTTTGGAAACCTTACTTGCGATGGAGGATTGCCAATGAGATGTTAAATATTGACAGCCGCTAGGATGTTGACAGTAGCCCTAAGTTTCGGTTGTTGCTCATGTGGCTGTCAGCTCGCCAATGCAAGTTAGAAATTGAGTGATGACTTTCAGGCTTGGATATTGGTTGACGGAGCAAGTTCGGGATAGCAGATGTGCAATTGAACATTTCGTGTAGTGGAATAGATCAGGGGGGGGGTCGCACAAACTAGTAGAGACTAATCGAGCAGCCGCGAGCTCCAGGTCAAACGTGAGGATAGCTCTGTTGAAAGTTACCGATGATTAAATTGGTGAGCGATAGTTTTATGGTGGAGTCCTGTAGCTCAGTGGTTAGAGCACTTGCTTTGCAAGCAAGACACCTGGGTTCAATTCCAGGCAGGGCGAAACCTTGGGCAAGTTTCCTTACTCCACACAGAGCCTAATAATAATCCCTCCAAAAAACCCAAAACAATAATAAATTGGTCATTTTCAATCTACGACTGTTTGTGGGACATTGCTGTGCGCAATTGGCTGCCGCGTTCGCCCACAAATATACAGTCAATTCACTTTACAGTATATTCTGTGAAGCGCTTTGGGACGTCCTCCCGACGTGAAAAGCGCTATATCAAATGCAAGGATTATTATTATTATTATTATTATTATGGTGAGCCTTCAGTGGAATTTTCTCCACCACAATGCTTTGCAAGCAATGTAAGTTTTTTTTCTAAAAAATTAAACTGCAGCACAGAATTGCAATGAACTTGTGGTCTGAGCCCATGGTGGGAAAGAGCTGAAATATCATTCCTGTTAATAAGATTCAGCTCTTTGTACATACAGTTAAGTTCTACACTCCTACCCCTGGCTCTGTTTGTCGTCGACCGTCTTAACATCTACCTCTGCGACTGCATCTATGGTTGCCACCTTGCCCTTCCCCACCACCACTGTCCAGAAAAAAACTGCCTTTTCAGGGATTTCACCCAACCCTCTCCGCCACTTTGGGAAACCTCTGTATCCCAAATGTCCAGACAGAATCTTCCTCCTCCACCAGTTCAACTCCGGCCTCCCCTCCTGCCCACCACCGATTCCTTCACCCCTCTCTTGCCTCCCAAGCTCTGCATCACAGGAGTCGCGGTGCACCTCAGAGAATGAATTTATTTGTTCGTTGCATCCTGTGCCATCTGTCCCATCATCTACCCTTAGCATTCTGGAGTCACTGAAGAACTGGACTTACAAAAAANCCCAAGTGAATTTGGTTCAGGTTTTGCGAGCACAAATAAGTGTGTGTAAGTGAATGCCAGCCGAGTTGTCCTTCACTTGTGCACATTTTCCCCGTTTGGTTTGTGACCTGTTTGTTGGCAAAATCTGAAGGTTTTGTGTAAACCCGATGAGTAATGTTTGGCTGGCAGCACATCGACGAGTGGCTTAACCCTGGTTTACCAGCCTGAGGTACTGCCAATCCAGTACTTTTCCAATCAGGCCTTTCACGTTTCCCAGTGCTGGTAGGTCATGGCACCTTCGTTATTTACAGTACTTTACAGGCCATTATGGTTTCCAAAAGGTCACATTAGCATCACGTATAAGCAGTCTGCTGATGTGGAAAGTTACAGGACTGGATTCCGAAAACAAGGTTAACCGCTTCGCCGAGTGGAACCGAGAAGGGAACGAGGATTGAAATCTAGAGTTATTGTGGGTTTTTTTTCCCCCCCCCCCCCCCAAAAAAAAGAAAGAGGAGTTGACTGAATAACAGTGTGGACTGGTGTTCTATTCATCCATGGCATTTAGAGCCTTGTGGTACGCAAACTCCACTTTTGTGGGGTTTCGATGTTCGATGGTGGCGATACCGTTTAGGTTTGTGCCCGATTCCAAAACAACGACTGCTATAAACCATAACAGAAGTCGCTGGGAACACACAGCAGGTCAGGCAGCATCCACGGAGAGAGGGCGGTGAGGTTACCTTTCAGCTCGATGCCCTTTCGTCAGAACTGACGAAAACTAATCGAACTACGACGTACGTTTACTTAGTAAGAGCCTTTATTTGTTTAGTCTTCGAGCACTTCACGAAGACTGGGTCGAGCACAAAGCAAAAGGGGGGGGGGGCGAAACTGACCGGTTTCCTTCCTTCAAGCACAATCAGTGGGCTGGACGTTTGCATACACACAAAGGCCGAGTAAACGTAAAACATTTTGAGCGTCTTAATTTTTTTTCTAAAATTTATTGAATTCTCGAGTGCATCGGATTCCAGTGGGTTCAACCCTGTTGTTCTACATCTTCGTTAATCTGCTTATTGGTTTATTGCTAACTAACAGACGGCAGATTGTTACAGCTTCTCCCGAGACGGAGGTAATTGTTTTTTTACCTTCTTGCCAGTTTTCTCCTTTTTATTTCTTTATTCCCCGTCTTCCTTCCTGCATCCACTTAAGGGCAAAAAAAAACAAAACAGTTTGAACCATTCCAAAAGTACGTTGAGATCTTGATTGCAAAACCACAAGTAACAGAAAATGTTTTTGAAAGATTTTAGCGTTTGATTTTGCTCTTTTAGTGAAATGAAAAAAACTTCAAATGAGAGTATCGTTAGAACCATTTAAGTGTGCCGTTCAAACGTTTGAAGTAACTTTGAAAAGAGTCAGTCACAAATGTAGTGCTCAAGTAAAGTGGTCTCCCCTGTGGTCTCTGCCTTTGCACAAAGAAAGGAAAAGTTGTCCAGACGCAGTACTTGAATTTCGAAGTGAAAATAACATTTCACGTAAACGTAGGTAATTATTTTCCGGTGTGAGCGCTCTCGTTCGGTTGGAGGGTTGCGAGTTCATGTTCCACGGCTGAACTTGGCGCTGGCCGTCGATGCTGAGACTAGTGCATTGGCGGGAGGTGCTTTTCTTTGGATGAGAGGTTAAACCGAGGTCCTTCCCTGCCTGGTCAAGTTTATGGGTGCAGGTGATTCCTCCCTGCACCCAAGACGCCGTGGAATAAAGTGGGATAACCCGCTGACTGCTTGTAAAAGGGAATTCGATGAATGTTTGAATGGAGCAGAATGGATAACTCTTCTGTAGAGAGACTTGAGCGCAGGCACAGTGGGCAAGTTGGCGTCCATCCATCTGTTTTGAAAGATTCTAATACTTATAAAAGAATGTCTCCTCCCTTCCATAGGAGCAGAGTATCTAGTTGGCACACAAATCCGGTTGGAAAGTGGCGCACAGCACGCCACATAGTCTTAGTCGTAAAGCAGAGCAGTCTGCGTACATCTGGCAAACGGGTTTCAACCATAGAGGAACTGTCGGGATCGATTTATTGCACAAGGGTGTACACGGCTACGAGCTCAGCTGATGCATTATTCGTGCCCCACGTGGAACGAGTACGAAAATCAATTCTGATAAGCAAGAGGTGTGGAGCAAGTTCCCTTACTCCACACGCCTCTGTTTACCAGCAGTCAGTAGGAACCCAGCTGTTAGGTCAGTTTCCGGGGGTAATAATCCCTTGGAAAAAATTGTAATAAATAATCATAGGTTGGTCACTCAGTCCACCACTGTTAGTGGGCCATCGCTGTGTGCAATTAGCCTCCACGTTTCGCCCACAAATATACAGCCCATTAACTTGACAATATCCCGTGTGTTCAAATGGAATGGAGATTGCACAGGTGCCTTTTTTTTTAAAAAAAAGAAGAAAGCAACTGCAACGTATCATCTTTGATACTGAAACGCCGTTTTCAGGACCTTTGGTTGAACTTTTTGCCCGAAGTCGCTGAACTCGCACGTGCCCGCCGACCTAGTAATATGCTCCTCTCCGATTCCAGAGCATGTGCAGGCAGTTTGTCTGTCAGTTGTCCGTTAATGTCCTCTGTGCAATGCAATTCAAAAAAAAAACCCCAGAGCTGTAAAGCCCGAAGGTCACGCAGACCCAGAACTGAGCAAAGAGTTTGCTTTCTGCTTCAGAGTGTATGTTAATTGAGCAAACGTGGCTCTTAAGAAATGTTCAATCTGCTACACTAACTGCCCTAATTGCTGGTTTGTTTTTTTGGCGAAAGAAAGTATTTGAAGGTAAAGGATTAAACCGCATCAGTTGAATTACTGACATTCCATCGACCAAAAGAAAAACAATCCTTTAATCTGCGCAAATTTTTGATTCTAAACGCGTCTGTTCCAGCTTTTGTGAATGTGATTGTTTCTCGAAGGCAGTTTTACTTTGAGAATTATTCACAGCGACAAAAGTGAGTTAAGTTCCCTGTTTTTGTTAACGTTTCACCTGTATGTGGTGCGCAGTTATGCTCCACGCAATCTTCGTACTTAACGTGGAATGAAGATTTAAGGTTTTTTTTATATATACAGAAAAAAACCATTGGGGAAAAAAAAAGTATATACCGTGCAGCAATCTGTTGCGTGGAAACGTGCGCAAATATAGAGGACGTAAAACCAAGGGTCGATAAATCGTGAAAGGAATGGGTGGATACCTTACCAGTTTGACCTGTACATTACTCAAGGGTAATTAGGTGTTTCCGACACTGATCTCGTGCCTCGCACTAGATTCCGTCATGTGAAAATCAACCGCAGCAATAATAATTCTTGCATTTGACACGGCGCCTTTCACATCGAGAGGGAGTCTCGAAATGCTGTTGACTGTGAAGCGTTGTGACATTTTTTTTTGCAGCCCAACATAACCTAAGATTGTTGAGGTGAGGGCAGTTTTTTTTTTTTTTTTTCTTTTTGCCTTTTGGGGGCAAGGAGTTTATTTTTTATTTTTTTAAAAAAAAATTGCCGAAACGTCGGCGAGTGAAACAGAGCCTCGAGTAAAAGACTTCAATGTGTCAGGGAAGCATGAAGTAATCGGTGCTGACAGTGAGCCTGATTTAATCCAGCACATGGGTTCTCCGCTGCTCGTGCCCTGTAAAGGATTTGAGGAAAAACTCGGCCTGCGTGACCTTTTCCGTGGCAGGTTTTGTTGTCTCTGCGTGTTTTCCTGTACCCCGTTGCCCCTCCCGGATTTAATGAATGTTTAAATCTTTTAATCGTTACAGCGCCCACGTGTCTCCAGTCAACACCATCTCATCGGCGGGAGAGTGAGTATTATATATTATTTTCTTTTTCCATAAACCTGCCCGGTTTGCCCGACGGTTCTGCATTGCGTGCGGAATTTTAAAAACGTCCCGAAAAAGAATCTTGTCAAGGTGGCGTTACACGTAACCTGCGCGTGTGCTGTGGACTCCGTTCAGTGCAAACCTCAGACCAAATGGCCAATGCGACGTCCTCGCTCCCCCAATCCACCGCCCGGCGCCTCCGCTCGGCAGACTCCCCCCCCCCCCCCCCCCCCCCCCGCCTCGCACCCTCCGCCCCACCATCGGAGGTCGCGCCATGCCCCGAAACTCTGAAACTCTCTCCCTCAATCCCTCCGCCTCGCCCCCCCACCCCCCCCCCCTCTCTCTCCCCTCTTTCGAGTCCCACCTGAAGACCTTCCTTTTCGACCGGTGTTTACGGGCGCTATACAAGAGCAAGTTGTTTTTGTTGTTGTAATGTTAGTGGAGTGGCCTTGAGGGATGCGCAGTATTAAGGATATTCAGTCTCCTAACCAGGGTTATTCTCGCCGCCTTATACACCAGTAGCGTCTGAAATGGGTATAAACAATGGTGAATGATTATTATTTTTGTGTAGGTGGGGATTACTTGGCGAGCAAAAAAAAATCTATATGTGTATATATATATATATACATTCGAAGTAAATTCTCCCCCTTTATATAGAGGTAAAGGTTTGCTTAAGTTAGTCGCTGAAGATTATAGAACTGCGGGTGTAGCTTGTCACGTGGGTCATTTTAAGTTTGATATTTGCATGCGTGTTATATTTACGCGTGCGCACACATACGTGTCTGTGTGTGTGTGTGTGTGTGCGTGTATACATATACGCACCGCGCACACGCACGCACTCAGCTTTGGGAATGTGAATATCTTACGATTTTCGAATCGGCCGCCTCCTGTCCTATTTGGCCATCGGATTAACAGCCAGTGATTTGACATTAGGAATCACCGTTCCCACGTGTGCGGGTGGGGGGGGGGGGAGCACGCGTTCGTGCGTGTGCGCGCGCGCGTGCGTGTGTTTTTTTTTTCTTTCGACGAGAATCGACGGATTTCGCGCCAAGCGGAAAGCGTTTCGATGGGATGGATTAAAAATAGTCGAATCCTAACCTTGAGAGGGAAGAGTTGAGTCCTCTTCTGCCTAAATGCCAAACCGTCGTTTTCAGTTTTATGGAACAGACCATCCGATCAGTAGTGGAACAGCATCTCTTTGATGTTCATGGCAATGGAGTTCAGAGTTCAGAGGAATCTGAAGCAGGGACATCTTTGTCTGCAGCAGTTACTGCTCGGCAGAGGAGGAGACATCTGAAAGAGCAGGATGAAGCCCGAAGAAGCAGGGAAATGTACGTTTGTTTTCACATTAACCGAACATCGGTTTTAAACATAGATTTAACTCCTCTAATGGTAGGATTTTTAATTTTATTTTTAAACTGCGCGCGCGCAGCGACACACGCGCGCCGCGCACCCCCCCCCCCCCCCCCCCCAAAGGACGCGCAGTTGGCACGAGGGAGAGATTGCTAACTTTACGGTCCCGCGATTTTAAATCGTGAATCCTCCTCTGTACGTCAAATGATTTTCTTTCATACAGATGTTTTTCGCTCGCATTTGAGGTCTAGCACGTCCTCTGATCGAGTCGCAGTCCAGAAGTGCACTTTTTTTCGAAGGTTAATCAGGAAAGCGCAGATTGAAAAACGCATGGCTTGCGAATCGGTTCGATAATTATCAATTCAGCTATTGAAACAACGCGTCTACTTAAAATCTACGTCCTGAATACTGGTGCCCAGTATGAAACCCCCCTGTTTTTGTCTGCCACCCCCACCCCCACCTGGCCAAATGTCACCACGTTTCACTATGTCTGAAGGTCTCCGCGCTCACCATCGTGCAGAATGGTGTATCTGAGCATCGAACCAACTTGGCAATATTCAGACGCTGTCACTGAAATCCTAAAAGTGCGTCTCGCGCCTTCAGCTGGTCTCTCTCTCGACTCCCGCTGGAAGGTGTGCGCGGGTGCGGATGCAACCATTGGGGTTTTCATCCTACACTTTTCTGATTAACCTTCGGAAAAACGTATGCTTTGATTTGGATGCCGTTCAGAAAATACAGCTGTGAACTGGGGAAAGCCTGTTCCGATTTGGGCCCTGCACAGCTCGTACGTTATTTGGCTGTGACTTCCCTTCGTACCACTGACCAGACTTCAGGTTGACGCTCGCTGTCCAGACCGGCCACTTGCTCAGGGTTGCAGCTGAATATTCAAAAGCTATTACAGAACAAACTGTTCAGCCTAAGAGGAGGGGAAGATCAGGCCTGAAACCGTCTGTCAATTAATGCACGATAGCACATGACCTAATCTGTTATTAAAATACTGCAGATTTCCACCCATTGGATGACTCTTGTCACCCGATTTTCTCCGGCAGTCTGCACCCAGAATCTGAGTCAAGTAACCAATTGCACAGGCACCAATACCAACTCACACTTATAGAGCTCTCTTCATGCAGGGAAGTGTCTCTGAGTGTTTAACAGTGCCTGAGCCTAATACCGAGCCTGGGCGGCGGGGGGGAGTTGACCGCAAGCAGGGTCAAAGAGGAAGGTCTTCTAGCGTGATCTGAGGATGGAGAAGGAGGGGGGTGCGAAGCGGTGGGATTGTGCGAGAGAGTTCCAAAGCTTCGGAGCATAATGGCTGCTAATGGTGGAGCGCAGGGGACGAGGGACAAGCAGGAGGTCGGAGCCAGCCGAGCAGAGGTCGAGGAGTAGGCAGCATGTGTGTCAGAGGTAGGGAGTAGCCAGGGCGTCAAGGGATTTAGAGGTGGGGAGATGACAGGGTATGAAGGGAAGTAGACGAATGTGAGAATATTTAAATTGATCCATCCAGGGTTGGGTTGCCAGTGGAGCCTGGCGAGGACTGGTGTGATCGGGGCACTGAGATTAGAGCAGGTGGATTTACGGGTGCCAGAGTTTTGAATGAATTGGATTTTGTGAATAGTGGAGCTAGGGAGGTCAAGGGAATAGTCGAGTCGGGAGGTGACGAAGTTGTGGATGAGGGTTTGTGAATTAGTCATTCAGGCCAGAAGATCTCAGGTTGGATTCCTGTTCTCTGATCTCAACCAGATCAGTGTTTGGGTGGGGCGCTGCAATTGTATCTGGTGTAATTAGCCCATTAGCCAGTGGTTGTCATCTCTCTCCCCAATGGGACCTGTAATTCCTGCTGAAAAGTGCATGTGTAGGTATCGGGTGAGAATAATGTTAGGTTCATGCGATGCCTGTTGACGATCACAATACTGGTCTACAACTCGTTTCTCCAGAACATCCGCCCTGCCGTTCCCCCTGTGTAAGGGAAATCCTCCTGGGATCTGTCCTGAAGTTGCCATTGGCCAACTCTAAATCTATGTCCTCTTATTCTACTGTCACAATGCATCCTAAAGTAGTCATCTGGGTTTATTCCCTGTCTGGGTTGACACATGGGCAGTAGGCACTCAGGTGAGGCAGCAGAGAGATCGGCAGTTCACTGCCAGACGCTGTAGTTGAAGGAAATAGCATCAAGGTATTTTAAGAAAGAACTTGATAAATAAATGAGAGAGCAGGGAATAGAGGAGGAAAGGAGGGGTTCGGAGCTCCTGACTGGTGTTCACACGGGCGCAGTTTAGTTGCACCGAATAACCCGTTTCCGCGTTGTATCACGTTCTGTAACTCTCTTGGACTGCCCGTGGAGTGAGTTGTAGCTCGGCACCAGTCCCCTTTCTGGAGAGAATTGGCTTGGGAGCTCGGTTTGTTTGTTTGTTTTTGAGAACCCGTTTTACCTTCTTGCTTTGCAGGGATGATATCAACAAGGAGAACATCCCCTCCGTGTTCGGTGCTAACGAGGAGGGGAAGCAGGGTCTTCTGGAGCCGTCCCAGCCCAGTGACAAAAAGCTAAAGGACAGCGGCACCAGCTACATCGAGGAGGGCATGAAGCCAAAGAAGCAAAAATCAAGTTCTAAGCTGTCTGAGCTTAACGAGAATCAAGACTCTTCCCTGGTGAGTTTCCGCCTTTAAGCACTCAAGGTAGAGCAACAGAGGTATTTTCCTGATGCAAATTAAATCATTTTTCCACAAATCACCCCCGGGCTGAGTCTTAGCAGCGTTTATATATAAAAAGATAACAATGTTCATCCTTGATATTTGACCCAGTGCCTTTTCACACTGTGTAGACGTCTCAGAGTGCTTTGCAGGATTTTACTCTAGTTGGTAATAATTCTTGCATTTGATAATAGCCCCTTATCACGTCTTTGAGACGTCTCAAAGCACGTCACAGAATATACCGACCGCAAAACAAATTGACTGTATATTTTGTGGGCCAAAATAACTATTTTGTAGGCAAACACTGCAGCCAATTTGCATGCAGCAGTGTCCCAGAATAAATGAGTTATTTTCTGTGGCATTCGATGAACATATGTTAACATTGTGCAACTTCGGTGCTTTTGCCAGGAATCCTCTCCTAACACTATACCACAAGGCCTTGCTTGGCTTTCACCCCAGTGATTGCCGTGAAGCTCTTCACAAAACGAGAATCGTTTGAAACGAGCTGAATATTTGCACAGAGGCAAACACGGCAGCTAGTCTGGGTCACAAACGCCGATGAGAAGACTAACCGATTGATCAAAATGGTTTAAAATGGATGGGGAAAGGATAACTGGGGATAAAACTCTACTCTTTGAAATGGGAACACGGAATTCTTTTAATGCACAGCTCGCCGCAGTTGGTAGAACTCTTGCCTCTTGGTCAGAAGACTGTAGGTTAAGGCTCCATGTTGGGAATTGAGCTGTTAGTGCTACGCCCAACACTTCAGCATAGCACTTGGGAGAGAGAGCTGCATTGTCAGAGGTGTTGCTTTTCAGACAAAGTGTTAAACCAGCATTTGGTTGCTCTGCCTGTTTTCATGGCGGAACCCAGGGCACTATTCAAAAAGAGAAGGGGGGTCTCCAACTGTGTTCAGGTCAACAATCCTCTATATGAATTGGTCTTTCGTCTCATGGTTGTTTATGGGACTTTGCCCGTGTGCAAAATGGCTGCCGGATTTGTCTACAAAAAGAAGAGCTATTGACCGTGTTGACGAAGCACTTGGAAGCTTTTTTTTAAAAAAAAGGCTGATAAGACGCTGTGAAAAATTCTTTATTCATGCAAATTGTGCCGCTGGTTAAGAGACCGGGAACCAGTTACTGTTGGCGTAAACCAATATTCTTTAACCATGCCAGTAGCTCAGCTCAAACAAAGCTTGGTCACGAGGGCAAGGTACCAGAAGGACAACATTTGGTGCCAAGAATGAATGAAAACAAAATCTGGGTGGGGATCATTTGGCAGGAAACACAGTTAAATAACAAGCGCACATTGTTGCAGTACATCTCTGTGAGGGTGTTACGTTGCAAGTTAATTTTTAAAAAGTACTTGAACTTTTATCTGCTTCTTGCCTGCGTGTTTAGAAAGCATTTTTGTAATGATACAAATCACTTGTTTGCTTTGTTTTGAAATATTCTCCCCCCCGCCCCCCCACCCCTCCCCGAATATTTTGTTCAAAGAAATATTTTCTTTGAACAATATTACTGTAACTAGCCCCACAAATTTGCTTGTCCAGGCAGCTCTGATCTGTAGATATTATACGGGGTAATTGCTGTCGCAGTTCCTTTATTTCAAAACCATAACTTCATTAGAAGTGTATATTCAGGGTTCCAGTCCAGAGAAGTGACCGGCATCTCACCTGCGTGCATTTCAAGCAGTTTTCCTTCTGATTTCCCTGGATTACATTCTTCTCCACATCCGGATTTACAATGGCTACCTGCCCTGATTTATACTTGTTTCACGTAGGGAGAACTCAAAACCCTATATTACACCAGAGTTGTCGGAGACAGCTCCTTAGGGTGGGGGCAAGGTAGCTAAAAGCTTACTCGCCAGTGCTGGGGCAGAGCGGGCAGTGGGCGTGAAGCAGGCCAGTGTTGGCAGAGCGGAGGGAGTGCCCAGAAGAGAACATGGGGCAAAGCTGTGGAGGCGTTTGAAGGGGAGGACAAGGATTTTGAGGTTAGTCCGCCGGGGTGGGTGTGGAGTGGGTGATGATAGGGTGATGGGTTTAGTGCGGAAGGGGTCATGGAGTTCTGCAGCCTTGTGGAGCTGGCAAAGCCAATACATTTTTGCGTTTGAGGTAGCGCCTTATAATAACAACAGCTACTTACGTTTGTATAGTGTCCTTCATGTAGGATAGCGTGTCGGAGTGGATCACGTCGCCAAAATGCTTCATAGGATTTTACAATAAAAGTGCAGTAACTGTGTATTTGTAGGTGAGCACAGCAGCCAATTTCCTCACAGTGATGTCCCACAAACAGCCGTGAAGCCAAGGAGCAATTTTTTCTGGAGGACACTGTGAGATGTTCCTTTCCTAATTGTTTGCTCGCGTGTTTCTCTTTCCCTCGTTGTGTACTGTATATGAGACAGTAGTGAGCGTGAGTAGCGTACCTGCGGTGTGTGGATACGCATAAGTAGAGATTAATCTAATAGTTTTGGACGATGCAGGTTCCACTGAACTCTAAGTAACTATAAGCAAGTATCTGATTTCAATCAAAAGCGTAAGGTCACAAGAGATTTTGTTGCAGGTGATAAGGTGTCATGGTATTTCTTTCTCCCTCCCTTTGTTCTTAATCACTCTATAAATCCACTAGCTGCATACTGAGTGCATATAAATGTTACTGATCTCTTCTGTACAAATGTACAACGTGTAATGTTTTTCCTGGCGAGGTGACAGTTTCTCTCGGATTTTCTTTTTATCGACTCCCAGTCTACATCAGGAAGAGTTGCCGAGCTGAGGAGTGGGAGCAACAGCAACTTGTATTTACATAACACACGGGTAGAGGTCTCGGAGCTCTGGGGTGAAGTTTGGGGTCTGGGTTTCGCTCCACTCGACTCGGGAAAGTATGAATCGGAGCAAAGACAATCCACTCTCCAGTCAAAGGCCATTCTGGTCATCTGCAAGGAACTGAATTTGGCAGCCGATTCCTTATTTCTTAAGAGCCACCAGCGCCAAAATTTGTACAGCAGATTCTGTTGCAGTGGAACGTATTAGCACATTTTCCATGCGAAAGAATGTATTCATTGATGGCAGTTGAAAAAAACCATTGTAAGGCTTCTGAATTTGGGTTAATTCGTTTTACACACAGTCTGTTATCTAAAGTCCATCCTGTGAATCATTTAAGTAGCCCGGAATTAATTGTCCACAGTCACCGGCTCACAGCAGGCCAGTGTTTTTAACATCATCGATTTTTGCTCTTTGGAGCTGTATAAACAAAGAAGTGAGCGGCAGAGCAATGTGAACATTCAGCTCCTCTCAGTGACAACCGATTGTGTTTTTTTAAGCTCTGGACGTGGGGTGATTATGTGGTTTCGTCCTCGCCTTCAAAGCCCTCCACAGCTTTCCTCCTCCTTACCTCTGCGACCTGCTAACTCCATACCGACCTGAGCACTCCCTCCGCCCAGCGGGCTCCGGCCTGCTCCCATGTCCCCTGCCCAGCCCGCCCCACCACCATCGGCGGCCGGGCCTTCAGCCTCTCTTCTTGCCACCGCCCTTTGGAATTTCATCCCGCAGTCCCTGTGCCTCGCTCCCTCCCTTGCCTCCTTGAAGCCACGCCTTCGGTCACCCTCCTACCCCTACCCTCTCCGCCCTCCACCCCTCCTGAACCTAATCCCCAGCTCGGGTCCAAACCCCTGACTGTCCAGTGGCTTGGGACATCCAACGTGAAAGACGCTATACAAGTGTAATTTGTTGTTGTTGTGTTAACTGGTGGTGTTTTTTGTTTCTGGCAGGTAATGGAAAATAGCAGCTTTGCTACGTCGTGGTCTCAGGATCCATTTGCTGGAGCTCCAGGCGGTGACCTGACCTTTCTGGTTCAGCCTGACGACGTCAGTGAACAGGACAGGTCAGTTTTTCTCCACCATCCAATGTTTGTGTGATGTTTGGGGGTTCAGGCATTCTTTCCATTCGGCTCCCGTTAAGCCCTGGAAGTCACAAAGTCCTAACTAGTCGGATGGTCCGAGCTGGACAAGCAAAATGCGAAGCTCTCCAGGCAGGCGCTCTTGGCAGCAAGCCGTGCAGTTTTAGCTGTTCGGGCTTCCAACAGACCTTGGCGTCCCACAAGCTCTTGCTCTTGTCAACCAGCACCCTAATAGTCTCAGGAATTATGTAATTCTAGACGGTGGGGGGGGGCAATTTTCACGTGTCGTTGGGATGCACGGCACTGTCTTGTTTGGGATACTCTGGAGCCTGGTGATGGGTTTCTGCGTGTGTCAAGACTCTTGGCCGACCCACAGAAAGACGTGCAGTTTGAATTCAGTTTCTCGTTCAAGTTGGGGAACCGCTGTCAATAGCCACACCCTTCAATGCCACCATTAAAGGCAGCACATCGTACAGAGGGCATTTTGCCTCGCCTGTGTATTGCTGGGACACCACACCCATTGGTTGAGAGCAGGTGCGTTTGCCACTTTCCGAACTACTCTTGCCAGCGATGGGACTGTCCTGTCAGTGGGGAAGACCCTTGCTTTTGTACGCCATTTCCCCGCTCGGTGTTATCTCCTACCGCTATGCTGTCAGGGGATTTGCCACGTGTCCTCAGCCCTCATCATTGGAAAAAATTTTGCTTCGTCGTCGAAAAGTTCCGCAACGACGGATGGAAGCGCTGTACGACAAAAGCCCAGAATGTTTCGAGGGCGGAACGGAAGGTGGCGTGATCACGCCACTGCCAGAATCGAGCCCTCGTGCCTTTGAACCGATCTGTCCGTCTTAGACACTTGTAAGCGCATTTGCGAAGCACCCTGAGGTGCCTGTGCCGTGCCTGCCGTGTGTTAAGGGATGTGCTGGTCCTTGATGCGTGCACGTCTTTGGTTTCGCCGGTAACGAGGGTGGGGTGCGCGGGGCTGGGAGGGGAGAAGGAGCAAATAGTTTTTCTCAGTAACCTGCTCGGGTTCCTTTTTCATTCGATGACGCGAACCCGAACTCTCAAAGTTGACTGATAATTCACAATGTGTTTTTTTTTTTTTTTTTTTTTTGCCGATCATTTCCTCTCCCTTTTCCAAGGGTAGTTTGTACCTGAGCATTTGAGGGGGGGGGGGGGGGGTGAGTTTGTCGTTGACGATATTTATTTCTCAGTCGTGGCTTATGCTTTCAGTGGTGCTGCTGTGAAACCCTCAATTTGAAGGCGGCTGCGTTTGTATTAAAACGTTCTTTTTTTTTAATCTGTCGTGCCGGCTATCTCCTCTCTCCTCTTTTTTTTATATAAAAAAAAAACATGCTTCGAGTGGTTGTGTTTCACCCACTGTGCAATTATTGAGCGGTTTTCTCGCACAATTTCCGACCGAAGTGAAACAGAGTTACCTTTGGAAAATGCGAGTGGCCTTCACGAGTTCTTCCTCCTTCGTCCGGCCTCTGCATACCACTAAGTAAGACGTCATCCGTCCACCCGTGCAAAGTCACAAGATTCTGGCTCTTGTAAATCGTTTCACCCTAATAGTAAATATGGGAGTATTTCATAATAGTGATCAACAGTACTTATCTAATACTAACTAACCATTCTTCAGCAGTCTCTTGTGTTACACGCAATAACTCGTTACTTACTGGGAGATTTATTTTCTCTCTCTCTCTCGCTGCCCCAGAATAGTTCTTCTTTTCTATGCATCACCAGTGTTCAGAAAGTTATGCATCATTCTTTTCCTACAGCTCATCCGGCCAATTGTCAATGATTTGTTTTCCCCAATATCTTTCTCTTCCTAATGTCTAGTTCAATTAACTTTTGTTGGTTTGTTTTTCAAAAAAAAAAACAGCTTCTCTATGAAACGTTCTTTGGTCCAGACAAACATTGACTTGGCAGCAATAAACCCTTCACACTTTCATTCTGGGCCCGGCCTGAAATTTGCCATTGGTGCCACGGGTCAATTTAAAAATGTTGCATGTCCTGTTACCGAGGCTTTCCAGGTTGTGGGCATCCTCCTGTGGTGCGGGCACATCATTGGGACGTCCTCCCGAAGTGAAAGGCGCTATACAAATGTAATTTTGCATTGTATCCTCCTGTGCTGAACCCTCTGTTAAGAGAAATTGCAGAGTGTGGTGTCATTCAGTGTTCATTCACTGAAGCCTCGGGCTCCTAGTTTGTGTTTCGAGCCAATCTAGAAACGAGAGTAGAACAGGGCATCCAGTCTTCAGCCCGATTGACCCAGATACGATGTCAAAAGTTGCATTAAAAGACACATGCAGAGTATAAACTCTGGGAATGGTTGGGCTGAGTAGCCTGTTTCCGTGCTTTGCTGTACATGCTTCGTAAAATAATCCTTGCATTTGGCATAGTGTCACGTCAGCAAGACCTCTCGAAGCGCTTCATAGGACATACTATACAACTGAAGGTATTGTGATTTCCACATTAACTCGTAGATCTGGAAACTCTCGCTGGCTCACTCATGGAGCCAGAAGCCCTCTCTGGTTTCCTCTTGCGTCAAAAAACATTTTTTTGTGAAACGAACGCCAGGGACTACTATATTTTGGGGTGTCACCACCCAGCTGTTCCTTTATTTGTAATCCTTCCTTGTGGCCCAGTTGGTAACCGAAATCTAGGTGATCGCCCACCACACACAAAAAAATGCACACAGTCTTTACAGTACACCTTGTGAAGCACTTCTCAACGATGTGACAAGGTGCTGTATCAAATGCAGGAATTCTCATTATTGGTAATCAACATTTTATCTTACTCCAGAGAAGACCGGAGTATTGATAGTTGCAGAACCTCGGCATTCTTTGTCGATGGAGCCATCGGGCCAATCTGACCAACTGTTTGTTTTCTTCGGTAACCAAGAGACACTAAACCCATTGCCAAGCAACTTATAGATAAATAGGTAGTGGAATGTTTTTGTTTGCTGCAGTTCACCCGGTTAAGAACCACGAGGCAAGGTGAAGGTTTGCTCTGCTCGGCTGCAGTCGCTTCACGGACAGACTAGCTCTTTGTCCGTTTGGCAGAGCAAGAGCGGTAACTTGTACGTTGTGTTAATCGGACTCGATTGCAGACGCAGCAGTGACAATCCCAGAGTCCAGGGCAGAAGTAGAGGTGGTGGTGGTGGTGGTTGTTGTTGTCAGTGCCCACGTGGACGCTAACCTGGTGCTTTGGGAATTACATCACTGCGTGGCACTGCCTGGAATTAGGATTGGAAGGGGACCATGCTTGCTACAACAACAACAACAACTTGCATTGAAATCAAGCTCCTTCACCCAGGGTAAGGTCTCGGGAGTGTTTAATCCTGACGTGGCTGTGTGGCCGTGGCAGAAGCTGTTTGACGCTTCTGTGGGTGCCAAACATTGGACGAAGTGGAATTTGAAACGCTATCGGCGGCGAGGTGGAAGCAGACGCCCGGCGAGGCGTTGAGGAGAATGGCCCGATGAGCACGTTAAAGGCAACAAAGATGGCTAGGCGTGGACAGCTAGCCATCGGTGGCAGTTAGAGGCCTGGGGACAAACCGAAGTGGACATCGCTTTCAGCGGTTTCTTTTCCTTGTACATCATTTCCATTAAACTTGTAATTATTGTTGGTACTAACGCAGAACAGATCTTATCCGTATTACGCGATAATGAAGATTATTAGTTTAACTCCTCCTAAGCCCCTACCAAACCTGCCCGCTCTCTCCGCTCAGCAGGCTCCGGTCCTGCTTGATGTCCCCCGCCTTACCTGCCCCGACATTGGAGGGCAAGACCTTCAGCCTCTTTGCCGCCACCTTCCAGAACTCCATCCCGTAGTCCCTCCGCCTCGCCATCTCCCTCAAGACCCGTCTCAACAAGACCCTCTTCTTCCACAGCGCCTTCGGTCCCCCCACCCACCCCCTACCCTCCTTGCCCTCCACCCCTCATGATCCCAAACGTCCAGCTCGGGTGCGGGTGCCTGACTATCCAGGGCCTTGGGACGTCCTCCCGACGTGGAAGGCGCTGTACAAAAGTAATCTGTTTTAAATTTTTATGTGTGTTGTTGTGAGGAGTGACCGCCTTCTGATACCTTTTTTTTTTTTAAATTGAGCGCTGCCTCACTTAGCGAGGATCTGGGTTGACCCGCGCTAATCGAGAACGTGGTAGCCCCTGGGTTCCAGTCCTGACTGGCCAGCTTCCTGCACAAGAAAGGCCGATGTGCGGATCATCGGCTGGCCTCTGACGTCACTCCCTCCGAACGTGCGAGTTACGCACCTCCCTTTTCAGCCAGTGACCTCAGCGGCGACATGACCAGAACTCTGCTGGGTTTTTTTTTTTTGTGTGTGTGTGTGTGTGCCTCCCTTGTAATCGTGGCTTTGGACCCAGCCAAGCACATTGTGAGGATTCCCTGAATTTTAGGAAATTGTAGCGTCCCTTTAGGGAACTGATGGGCTTCAGTTCCTCTCTGCCATTCTACTTTATTTAGATTATACTTTATTTTGAAAGAAGTTCCAAGAATCTCGTTTAGATATCTGTTGTACAAGCTTTGTCGTGGGAAGGCCAGTGTTGACTGTGCCAGTGAACCGTAAATCTGATTGACTCGAATTTAATTTGCTCTGGTCTGTGTTTCAGGAAGGAAAGCGCCACTATGCTCTGTGAAAAGGACACTTACAATCCTGTAAAATTGACTCTGGTGAGTAATAAGATCTTCTATGTACGGCATCACGAGATCAGGCTAATGATAAAAATTTTGATCATTTTGAAAATAGCGCGGAGGCTCAATGAGCCAACGTAGAGGGACCAGAAGTGAATAACACTGAGAGGAGAGAAGGATATTAAAGAGATACGTTTAGAGGATTAAGAGAGAAAACTGGAGTGATGGAAAGGCGAGAAATGTTATGCTATATATCGAGAATTCTTCACACGAAGCACAACATTCCTCTCCTTTCCTTGATCTTTGGAGCAAAAAAAAGACTGAAAATGGGGAACCGGTTGGTTCAAAAAGTGGAGATAAGCTGTGAGAGTTGATGAATGAATGGCTGGCTGGATGGTGCCTGTTGAAAAGAGTTTTCTAGATACCTAGAAAGTATTTGTGGGGTAGGCTAGGGAGAACAAGTACGTGGGCTCCACAGAAATGTGCCTCCAGATAATAAGAATAATCCTTGCATTTTGATGCAGCGCCTTATCACGTCTTCGAGACGCCTCAAAGCGCTTCACGTCGTATACTATAAAGTGAATTGACTATTTTGTGGACACAAATAGAGAGGAAAAGGAAATGTAAAGAACTTTTTTAGTAAAATACGAGAAAGAAGCTAGTGAAATTGGAAACACTAGACTGAAGAAAATGTTCTGTGTGATTGGAGTATCAGAGATCTGGTATATCAAGGGTGTTGACTGAGGGATTAAAATACCAAAGCCTATGGAAGACACAGATATAACAAACCAGTTTGAATGGGGACTGCATAAGAAACGATAAAAGCCTGGAGCGCGGAGACGGTGTATGGAGTTCAATGAAAGGAAAGAAGATAAATATAGGTTATCTTAAACTTTCTGGACAGGAAGAAAGGAAGTCTGTTACAAATCAGGACAAAGCTGTGGAAAGGCCAGAACATTAAATCACGAGAATTGAAATTGGTTGAGGGGGGAACAGAGAGCAGCAACTGAGAATGGATTGAATATTTCCAGAGGTAATCACGATTGCTTTGTTAGCAGTACGCTTTTCCGGAGGTAATAATTTCTTTTAAAAAAAAAACACACAACAATAATAATAGTAAATTGGTCATTTCAATCCGCGACTGTTTGTGGGGACACTGCTGTGCGCAATTGGCTGTCGCGTTTCGCCCACAAAATACCGTCAGTGTTGATGCGACCAGGTTGTTTACTGCAGCAAAAGGGTCCAAACTCCAGGGATGAAGTTTAAGGGTAAGGAAATTAATAGATGTTTGGAATAAGTTACCAGGGAAAACCATTGCAGAAAACCATTGCAGCAAATAGGTTTAACATACAACTGGAAAGAATGGATTAAGAGATTTGACTTGAAGCTGGTTCATTGGAACTGAAAGCCAGAGTTGTTAAAAATATCACTCTCGGTGGAAAATAGTAGCATTACTGGCCCTCGGCCACTGGCGCAAAGTGCCTCCCGATGTAAACTGTTTCCATCAGGAGATCCACGTGCGTCACCACTAATCTAAAGACTTGGACTCCGCAAAAATCACCAGACAGGAGGTCTCTGGCGCTTACCACTTTGGTCACATCGATTTTTTTTTTTCTCTCTCTCTCCTAACATTGTCTGGATTCAACCAGGAATCTGCGATCGCATGGGCACTCGTTGATGTAAATAACTGTGGTCTGGGAAAGCGTTTCAAAGGATAAACAATCTGGGGATGTTGGCGTGGATTAGTTATGACCAGTCCTTGAGTCCTGAAACGAGGATCCAAAGCACAAAAGCCACCCCCAGGGATACATGCACTTGCCTCAGTAACACCAGTCTAGCCACGTGGTTAATTTTGCTTGCAGTGGGCTTGCTCTTCTCACTGAACCACAGGCGGATCACAAAGCACCTGTTAATGGCTAGCGCAGTGTTTCCCTAGTGACCAGATGGATCGGGGCTGCTCGGAAGTCGAGCGTTTGGGAGGTGTCTGCGCCAACGGTGCAGTTCCAGGCTGCTGCTGCAGTTAGACTTCTGAAAAAGTATCGTCACTTCTGCAGATTGGAGGGCGGAAAACCTATGAGATAACCTTATTTGCTCTCTTCTTTTAATCCTAGCTTTACGATATAATATTTTGCCCACAAAATATACAGTCAGTTCGCTTTGCAGTATATTCTGTGAAGCGCTTTGAGACGTCTCGGAGATGTGATAAGGCGATGCATCAAATGCAAGGATGATTATTATTGTATTCATTTTTTTGAAGCCCTTTTGAGATGCTATATCAAATGGAAGGATTATTATGAGATGAAACCCAGGTGTATATTGCCATTTTGTGTTGCGACCCCCAACTCTATGGTGTCACCCTGCAATGAATCCTGCTATAGATAATAATGATAATAATCCTGGCATTTTATATAGCGCCTTATCACGTCTTCCAAGACGTCTCAAAGCACTTCATAGAATACAGATCTTTACCACATACCATGGAGTCTGCGTTTCTGTTCTTGCCGGTGTTACAAGGTCAAGTTAAGGTGCATTCCTGCAAGGAGCAGGTTATTAACCACTCCCTTGGAACCTAAATATCGGAACAGAAAATAAGATGTTATATGAAGCAGTAACGTGTTTGGGTGAATCCTTGTTGCAAATTGCTTGCCTACGTCTTCATCTCGTTTGTTTTACAGCTGACAGTAATCATGGTGTTGTTAAGGGAGCTCTTATTATAAATGATGTACAATCCACCAGTGTTTATGGAAGTTATCTACAGTTCAGTCTGCATTCCTCAAAAATCGTAATGTTCTTCTTTAGTGTGTTAAATCGGGGAATTAATTTCCGTTTAATTTCATGGAGGAATTAAGATCCCTGATCAGACTCTCCCAACAAACCGTCACCTGACTTGGCATGCCTTGTGAGTTGATATCTTTAAGTGGGTCAACAAATTATTAATGACTTTCCACACTGTGGCGTTCAGTACTTTATTTTTTTTTCACACCTCATTCAGTCATTTTGCTGCAATTAAAGCTGTGCTGAACGTGGTCCAGTTTGTTGCCAAAGAAGCTACTCATTTTATTGTCGCTTGTGCAAGATGGAGCGACGTGGGCTGTGAGGTGCTTCTTAAAAGCGAGGAAAGGGAATTTATAAAGATCTCGCCAACTATTTCGCAAGGAGCATTGTTCCGCTCAGCATAATAGGGCAGCAGTCTAAGCCAAAACTTGCTGCTGAAATTTAAAATGGGCTTTTAACCCTTGTGGATATATATATATATATATACACACAGATGTATATATAAAAAATTAAAGAGCTGCAGAGGTCTTTAAAGAGAAACGATTAATCGGTCAGCAGCTGAACACGGCTGTTCAGTGACAGCAGACTTTTCTGGCTCGTTGCATTTTGGCTGCTTGCCAGCACACGCGGCCCTCGATCCCAGACCATTCTTTGTTAGAGGTGCTCGCAAGTCGCGAAGGGGGCTTTTTGAGTGGTGCCTGCTGCCTGCACTATTAATAGACTCCCAACGCCCAGCCAGCCTTTCAGTGTTCCCATCCGGCTGCACGGGAAGCGCAGGGAATCGCCGCCTGTGCAGCCAGCGTTGCAGTCGCTCATCATTCCATCTGCGCGTATGTGCGCTTGCACGAGTGCAGCCACGTCCGCGATCCATATTTGCGGCCTCCCGTGGGTGGGTTTTTTTCTCTCTCTCTCTCTCTCTCTCTCCCCCTCAAAAGAAAATCTGTTCTTGCAAACGAGAGAGGGAGAGAGAGAGAGAGAGAATGACCTCAGGGTGTATCTCACTGCAGATGCTGCACAACAGCATGGATTTGTTGGTTTAGCTCGAGGTCCCGCCCAATAGGAGAGGCTACTCCAAGGAGCACAGTGGCTTTTCATTACACGCACGACTAGATATAAACAAGAGGGGGGTGCGAGGGAGGGAGGAGAAGGAGGAGGAGGAGGGGGGGAGTAGGAAAGGCTGGCTAGCGGGAGTCCAAGCTAAGCAGATGGGTTGTTTTCAGATGTCACGGGGACCGTTGCTTGACTACAGTGGAGGAGGGTCAGGGCGCACAGTCAATTGTGGGAAACGCATTGAAAAAACTTGTTTTTTTGTATATAAAAAAATAAACTTGAGCAGCGAAGGAGTTCCGCTTTTTTTTATAAAAAAAAATCATAAAAAAATTCGACTCTCTCTTTCTTTCCTCTCTCTCCTTCCCTTCTTGCCGGTTGAGCTCCGGAATTATTCATTGCCTTTTTCCCCCCCACACCCCCCCCTTTCCTCGGCGCAGAACTCGGCTATGAAGATCCAAGAATCCCAGAGTCAAAACGACGCAGCCAAAGCGGGGAGAAGCGGGGACCCGGCCCCCCCGGAGGGGAGCACGGCGGGGGACGTCCCTCGGCTGGACCTGACCGGCTTGTCGGAGCACAACGACTGGGGAGGTAATAAAGTTTTTTCAGTCTGTTGGAGTGCATGGAGGGGGTGGGGGCGGCGCGGAACGCGCTCCCCGCGCGGCGGTTTTGGGGCGCTGTCGCTTTGATTGCCCCGTCTCCGGGGGAAGAACTGCTTCTCGGAATTGCTTCAAGTGGGGGCGTCGTGAGCGAGGGTTTCTGCGTTGTTTCCGGGCGCTTGCGAGGTTTCGGGGCTGCGCGAATGGTAGCGCTCTCGGCTTTTTTGGGGGGGAGTCGTGTGATTTTTTTTGGGGTGGGGGGGTTTCGCTAAAGGGAGAGATCTTTAAAACTGTAAAAGGTGGGAGCGCTGATCGCAAATGTTTAGCCGAATTTTTTTTTAAGACCGTTTGCGTTAGTAAAGGTTGGTGCCTGGGTGTATCATTTTCATGTGGATTAGTCTCCCAAGTCCACCTCCCCCCCCACCCCACCTCCTGTTAGATCAGATGCTTTTGATTAACAATATTTCTGCTTCAACCGCTGGCTTTCGGAGTGCTGCGTGGCTCGCATTATGGCTTTTGATTTCAGCCGCTGCTTGTATTTGTACTTGTCGTGTTTTAATCATTCGATGGGATATCTGAAATCCTGAATGAGCGTCACCGAGGCTTGGAACCAACCTGTCATTTTGTGAGGGCCTTTAAATAAGTAGTGACTTGATGAGCTGCTGTATGTATTTCACCCCACCCCCCCCCCCACCCCCACTGCTGGGCTCAAGTAACTTACGTTCAAAAACTGCTTTGTGTTTTTTTTCCCCTGCGAGCATTAATCTCGCCCGCAAGACGCGCAGTCAGTCCGCTTTACAGTGTATCCTGCGAAGCGCTTTGAGACGTCTCAGCGAGGGGGATAAGGCGCTACTTCACACGCAAGGATTTTTAATGTATTATCTCTATTCTGCGCGGGGGGAGGGGAAAGAGAATGTCACTGCAAAAACGATACGATTTTCAATCACCGGGTAGCTCAGCCGTCCACTGCGCACTCCCCACAGGGAGAGCCGGGGCTCTCGTTTTGTAGTGCGTTTATATTGTGCCCTTCGCACCGGGGCAGTGTCTTGGGAGCGGCTAACAGTGGCCCCGAGCCAAGGAGGGAGAGGTGGAAGATCTTCAGGTATGATCTGAAGACGGGCAAGACACAGGAATTGAGGCGGGGAGTTCCAAAGTTCTGGGGCTCAGTGCCTGAAAGCACAGCCACCAATGGTGGAGCGGATAGGGGCGAGACGAGGGACGTGCAGGGGGCCTGAGCCAGCTGAGCCCAGGCAGAGGGTAAGGGAGTGAGGTGTGGCAGATCGGAGAGGTAGGGGTTGCCACTGGCATGAAGTGATTTTGTACGCGAGTGTGAGGTTCTCCAAATCAAGCTCTCAGCAAAACTGGCAAAACTGTAGGAACGGGTTTGGCTGTGCGCCCGCCCTGTTGGCCTCGCGGAGGGAGGCAAGTGGAAAGGCACGAGAATGCTGTTTGTATGGGTCAGCCTGGCTCAGTGGCATCACTCTCGCCTCCGGGGAGAGAGACAGAAGATTGCAGGTTGAAACCCCAAGTCGGGACTTGGAATTGCATCGTCTAAACCTGACACTCCAACGCAGTGCTTGGGGTGTGATGCCCGATCAGCTGGATGTTAAAGATCTCATGGCCCTATTTGAAAGGAGAGGCAGTTTCTCCCAGTGTCCTGGCCAACAATCCCCCCAAATAAAAGTGGTCGTCGGTTTCGTGGCTGTTTGTGAGTCGCTGCTGTGCGCAATTAGGCTGCCAGATTTGCCCATAAAGTACAGCCCCTGTGAAGCGCTTTGAGATGTCCTCCCGAAGTAGAAAAGTGCTGCGTCAAATGCAAGGATTTAAAAAAAAAAGTTTCGACTATTTGCCATTCGTTCAGACTGTTTTTTACCGCACGTTCCTGCTTTGCACATTTCAACATACAGAATATTGTTCACAATTGATTTTTTTTTTTTGCTGCTGTTTTCAGTCTTAATATTGTCAGTCTCTAAAACACGAAATGTCTCACGTTCAAAACGTACTCTGTGAATTGGTGTCTTCTAACAGGGCCAATGGGGTGGGGGAGCGAAGGCGGTGGGGGGTGTACATAGCATCTGTGCACCTTGTGATAACATTCCTTACGATTAAAGGTATTTGCACATTGTGCTGCAGGTATGAGCTTCTGATTGCAGCTTGCTTTTTGTCGGGAGGCTGGCAAAGTGGGGGGAATGGACCGAAACCAGGGTAGCGGATCAGCCTCAGCCTTTCCCCCGGGTAGACCAAGAAGGATTGGGAAGAGAGCCCGCTCTGCATACCCTCTTATGCTCTCCCAGAGCGCTACCCTGTGTCGCCACGAAAAAGAACGACAAATTTACTTGGGGGAGACTGTTGGCCAGGACACCGGGAGAAACTCCTTTCGCATGGTGCCATGGAATCTTGCATGTGAACGCAAGTCGTCGTTGTTGAAGCATCTGTAGAACATCTATTGTAAGAACTTGCCGTTTTTCTCAAATGGACGGAGGGAGGTAACAAGCTGATGCTTGGAAGCTTTCACGGTGGAGGAGGATGGTGCGCATTGCAAAGCACTCTCCCAATGTTCTCGCCCCTAAGCATGAGAAGCAGATCTAAGAGCTGCTGGCTGGCGCCAGGCAGATCCTAAATAAGGAGTGAAAGTGGGGAGAATGCAGGACCCACCTTATGGCTGGTACACAACCTTAATGTGGGAATAGACTGTTGCCTTGACCTCTCGGGCAGGATGTGACTTTTGGAATCCCAGAAGAGGGAGCAAGAAAATGTTTTCTCCTCATTTCCATCCCTCCCCAAGCGGGAGAAGGAGGAGATTACAACGTTTTGGTTTTTTTTTTTCCCTTTTTGGGAAGCGTTGTGATTTGGTCCACTTATTCTCCTGTGATTTTGGGATTTTAAATAACGTTTTTATGTCCTTGGCCAATTCGCTCCTCTTCCAACTCCTTTTTTTGTTTTTCATTTTATTTAAACTGGGCTGTGGTTCCTCTTCTGTGCCTCACCCAAGTGTGCAATTCTCCTGATTGAGTCGCGGAAAGCTATTAGACTGACTGTCCAGCTAACTTCATTCCCATCGTCACCTAATGACCACCTCTCAGCGATCAGGAACCTTGGCCGATTTTTCTTCTCCTCATCGCAGCCCGACCATAGCCATATGTAGTTGTGTCAGAAGCTATCACAGCAGAGAAGGATGGTGTGAGTTGGCAGCACCCTGAGTCAAAACGTAGTGGGTTCAAGCCCCTCTTCGGTTCTTGGAAGTCACGTTGTCAATGCTGATACTCCATTGCAGCGCTCGGATGTGCTGCATTGTCTTGAGCTGCGGTCCTTCACATGAGACGTTATACCAACGTCCCGTCTGCCTGTTAAAGGGTTTTCAAAAAGAGAAGGTTTTTTTTTCCAATGTCCTGGCCAACAGTCCCTCGAATAAAGAATTGGTCATTCAGTCCATGGCTATTTGTGGGACATTGCTATGCAGAAATTGGCTGCCGCGTTGATCCACAAAATACACACAGTATATCCTGTGAAGCTTTTTCAGATGTCTCAACAATGTGATCAGTTGCTATTATCAAATGCAAGGAATATTGTTTGTTACTAAATATTGTGCTGAGTGACATCCGCTAAACCGGCACGGACCAAGCATCAATCCTTCTCATTCTGTCTGGCTCAGGCCCTCATGTTTACCTTATTTAAAATTCCTTCTTATTTTCAAGCTCGTTGTTATTTGCCCTTTTAAGGATAGTTGTAGCCTTTTTTTTCCCCACCAGCATCAGATTTTTGTTCCTCTCTCCTAGGTTTCCCCCGACCACTTTGTTTTTTTTTGTTGTGTGTACCGTACATTGTGGGATATATTTTGTTTAAAAAAAATGGCAGAACACCATTCCACCAATGGGAGTAGAAATCCTCGCATTTGAAATAGCACCTTATGTCGTCAAGACATCTCGAAGAGGGAGTAAGGAATGAGTGGAGACTCTTGTGGAATATAAACACTGGCGAGGAGGACGAGTTGGGGCGAGTGGCCTGTTTCTGTGCTGTACATTCTTTGTAAATATGCTAATAGACTTTACAGCCATTTTTATTTCCCTTCCTTTCTATCGAGTCATGATGGGTACCAGATTACGATGACCAGAATTTTGTTTAAAAGGGATCGATGAAGAAACCTGTACCCGGCTCAGACCCGGCTGTTGAGTTTTCATGGGGCTACTTCATCCATCTATATACCTGCGTTCACCCTCCCCCCCCCCACCCCAAAAAAGTATATAGTTTTTCGAAAAGAATTCATGTTTTGATTAGAGAAAATGACTGGGTGTCAGCGGATAATGTAACCTCACCAGGAAGGCTTTATAGCTTTGGAAACTGAGCTTGTTCTGTGATGAAGGAGGGGAGATTAAATGCACGGTCGTGGCTTGTAATTGGATATAGATGTGACCTGCTGCTATCTTCCTGCTATGCAGGAGTTGATTGGACTTATTTTCTTCCTGTCTCGTCTACAGCATCTCTGTCTGTCTGTGTCTGTCTGTCTGTCTGTCTGTCTGCTCACTCTGATTTTTCTTTTATTCTTTTCCTTTTGCTCTTATTAGTGTCGCCTCCCTTCACTTTCCCCTACATTGATTTCAAATCTCTGCTTCAGCAAAACGCTCTTGAGGGTAAGTGCCCCACCCCACCCCCAAACCATTCTTTGAAACTCTGGGGAGAAAAGGAAGATCTTATCCCCACCCCCCCCCCCCCCCCACTTTTCGGCGGCAACGCCCCGCAGCATAAATAGTCACTTGATTTTTTTTTCACAAAAAAAAACGAAAGGAATTTTGGCTGTGGTTTGTGAGAGGTGACCGAAGGCGTTTAATGCTGACGAAAAGCGTCCGATCCCATTTCAGAACCTGTCCCGGCCTTTTCCTCGTGGCAGCGCCCGGAAGCCGAGTCCGAGGAAGCTCGGCTCTCGCCCCAAGCCGGCCGGCTGATCCGCCACCTGCTGGAGGAAGACACCCACCCCATGGTGTCCCCCCGCTTCTACGCCTACGGCCAGAGCCAGCAGTTCCAGAACGATACGGAGGTGCCTCCTTCCCCACCCAACTCGCATTCGTTCATGAGGTGAGTGGCCGGGAAACCGTCGCCTTTTAATTTGTTCTGAAGCCCCGGGGAGCTCTCAGTCCGAGGCGCTGTGAAATTCATATGTTTTTTTTTAAAGAAAATGTTTTTAAATGGGTTGCAGGAGACCAAGATTGTGTGTGTGTGTGTGTGTGTGAGAGTGTGAGAGAGAGAGAGAGAGAGAGAGATATCGAAGCCTGGCCCATAGTTGTGTCTCTGCTCGCTCGGAGAACCTCGGATGCGAGGTTGAACAGTAAAGCAATCACCGGGCCCCCAGGAATGACCGGGTGCAGTGGACCGTGTAACTGAACCTGCAACAACCCGGGCCCAATTCTTTGATGAATCTGTAAATCTGGCATTAGCAAACGAGGATTGGCTGTATTTCTTTGACTGTGTTCCTTTAGCTCCACATCGAACGGTTTCCAGCAGCGCAGCCTCAGACTTCAAACTGAACGTATCTGTATATATATATATATATATATATAGCTGGAGGCTGGTTCCTTCATTTCAGGCTGATGATAGTCTTTCGATCATTTTGTCCTTTTGACACGAGCCTCTTAATTTGGCTGCCTACAAGCATGTACGTGGTGACTGCAAATGGCAGCGATTCCCTCGGTCGTGATGAAGTGCTGTATCGAACGCGAGGATTGCTATCAGTTGTCGGGAACTATTTCATTTCACTCAGGACATCAGCCGAGCGGTGTATTGTTTCCTCCCATTTCTTGCCCTCCCCCGCCGCCCACCCCCAAACAAAGCAAAAGGCGTTCACGCTTGGTCACTTGGAGGGCATTGCGGAATGGAATGCTTTTTACTTGTTGCTCAGGCAGTCGTGTTACGCTCTGTTGCACAGAACTCCCGAAACAGGATCAGGTCTAAACATCAAAATCAGATTGCTAACGCGAACCATCAAAAGATATTTCGCAATCCATTACTGATTTAACATCGCTGTTGATTAGGGTAACTCAGAACTTTTCAATGCATACTTAGAGAGCGAGTGCACAAGATTCTGGAACGGTTGACATAATGCGATCTGTACTATGTTTGTGTCGGACACTTATTTTTTTTTTTGTTCTGAAACGCTTTGCTGCTGTTTTGCCTCTTGGTACGACTCTCTCCACTCAGGGTCAAAGATTCTGGGTTAATACCTATCCCCATTGGGACTTCAGCTCGTGATCCAGGCTAACGCAACAGTACGGTTACTGGTGGAGCACTGGGTCATCAGAGGTACCTCGCTTTGGTTTGAGATCTTAAGCCGTCTTCCCGTTCAGGGTGGATGTTAAAGATCCCTTCCGCCCACAAAATGCACCGTCAGTTCACTTTACAGTATATTCTGTGAAGCGCTCTGAGACGTCTCGAGGACGTGATATAAGGAGCTATATCCAATTGCAAGGATTATTCTTATTATTAACGCTATTCAAAACTCATATGTCCCAGCCACATGTCCCTCAAACTGGCCATTCACTTCATGGCTTTAGTGTCGAACTTGAGGGTCTATAAAACGGTTGCAGTCTCTGCCAACAAAGAAAAAAACTATTTGTTGTAAAAAAAGTACTTGGAGTTTGCGTAAGTGCAAGTTGTCGTTAGTGGAAAGAGACTGTTGCAGTTAACCTGATGCTTTTTTGTGTGCTGTCCCCAGGCGCCGGAGCTCATCCTTGGGCTCGTATGACGATGACAGGGAAGATTTGACCCCAGCGCAGATGAGCAAGAGAATCCAGAACTTGAAGAAGAAGATCAGGAAATTTGAGGAGAAATTTGAAGAGGAGCGGAGATACCGCGTGAGTCGCTTTCAGTGTCGGGGGGTAACTTGTTCACACGGGAGTTTGAGGATTCATTTACAGAACCAGACATTTGTAAACTGTTAGGATTGATAATAACAATAATAATAACAATAATCAACCTGGCATTTGATGCAGCGCCTTATCACGTCTTCGAGACGTCTCAAAGCGCTTCACGGAATATGCCGTAAAGTGAATTGACTGTGTATTTTGTGGGTGAAACGCGGCAGCCAATTGTGCACAGCAGCGTCCGCACACACAGCCGTGGATTGAGCGATTAAAAAAAAATTTATTTGGAAAAGTGATCCGCCAATCAATTAACAACCAGGTTCCTATTTAATCCTTGCATTTGATATAGCGCTTTTCACGTCGGGAGGACGTCCCAAAGCGCTTCACAGAATATACTGTAAAGTGAATTGACTGTATATTTGTGGGCGAACGCGGCAGCCAATTGCGCACAGCAATGTCCCACAAACAGTCGTAGATTGAAAATGACCAATTTATTATTGTTTTTGGTTTTGGAGGGATTATTATTAGGCTCTGTGTGGAGTAAGGAAACTTGCCCAAGGTTTCGCCCTCTGCCTGGAATTGAACTCAGGTCTCTCACTTGCAAAGCGAGTGCTCTAACCACTGAGCTACAGGACTCCAGGACTCTATTTACTGCTAGGGAAGCAGAGGCTTGGGGAGTAAGGAAACTTGTCCTGCTGGGAATTGAGCCCAGGTCCTCGCTCTCGTGAGGCGAGTGCTCTCACCACTGATGTACAGGACTCTGGGTGAGAGGAGAGGACTTCAACCCCAGTTTATAAATTATGGAGCTCAATTGTTTTTTGCTAGAATCTAAGTGAAGGGCCAACGTCTATAGTGTTTCTGCCCCCACCCTTTGAAAGTCCATCCCGCAGTCCCTTTGCCTCGTTCCATCCCTCACCTCCTTCGAGGCCCGCCTCGAGACCCTTCTCTTCGACCGCACCTTCGGTCAACCTCCTACTCTTGACCTCCAGCCCTCCTGATCCCAACCCGCAGCTCGGGTCCAAATCCCTGACTGTCTAGCGCCTCGGCACACGAGAGGCGCTGTAGATATTTTGATGTCGCTTGGATTGGAAAGGAGCGACGGGGGCACTTTAAATGGAAGTGCCAAGCTTGCTGTTTAACAAGCCCGTGATTTGGAGGTAGACAGAAGGTCATCTCCATAATTATGCGCTTATTCAATAGCCGAAAAGGAACAAGCTCCAGAATAGACCTGGAAAGCGGAGGCTGCTAATGTTATTGGAGACCCTTCAGCATCCGGGGTGCGAACAAGAACTTTGCCTTTTAATTGTCAAATTAATTACCCCAGACTTTTAATTGCCTGATCGCCGGGGAGAGTCTCTAGAAACCGTGGCAGGGCAAAGGCATCCACCAGTCCGACTTCCCACGTGATTGCACAACAGTACGATTTACGTGTGTACGGCCCCTTTCGTGCGGCGAGGACCTGTCGGAGCTCTCGTTCAGCGGCAAATCGTTTCAACCCGTCGCCCTGGCAGCCCGATTCCCGAGGCTGAAAACCTCCCACGTTGGCCCTGGTTGGGCGCAGCGGCCGAAGCCGTTTGAAACCCTTCCCCCTCGTCGCTAGAGTTCCCCTCGAGGCTTTCGCGTCGCGAACGCAAGACGAGAGCCGTGAATGAGGAGCGCCGACGGCATGATGCCCTCCACTCTTGGGCGCTGTTGGCTCTGTCCCGTCCGGCCCGTCGGTGCCGTCGGTTGTCCTGTTGCGTCGTGCTGTCGTTCGAGCAGTACGGTGCACGAGGTACGAGGCTTGCTGCGACGCGAGCTCCCCTTCCCCACGAGTCGGAGCCCTAGAGCGAGGGCAGCCACGCGGGAAAACTCTGGCCCGGGGGAGGAGCCAGCGGGGCCTGGGAACCATTTTTATATAAGAGTCCGTGTGGTGGTGGTGGGGGGGGGAAACCACACACACACACGCACACGCACCAGTGCAAACTGCTTGTGCCTGAATCCATCAAGGAAGCCTTTGTCCAATCTCTTACAATAGGCTTAAAGCAGTAGTGTAGTGGTCGGAAGTAGCTCATGGGGCTGCCAGGAGGCACCTGTGTTTCCCCCCCACTCCCTTCTCCTCCCCGAACGTTCGCGCGAGTCCAGGCAAGTCTGCATTTTGATGCAGTGACGAGGAAGTTACTGGTGTCGGACGTCGTTACGCTCCGCACGTCTGCAGCAGAAAATAAAAAAAATCAACGCGGAAGAAAAAGAAATGGGTTAACAGGACTTTGTGAACGCCCCGTCCCATAGCTGCTTTCAAAGCATACGACTCCTTTGCAAACCCAATTTTTGGGGTTGTTTGTTTTAAAAGGCATTACTCTTGCTTCGGCTATTATGCTCTCTGCTAACTGTCCAACTACTTCGCAAAAGTTTTCATTTTCACCATCTTGGTCGAGATTTGCTGACGGCCAGTTCATCCAACCCTTTGTTAGATTCCTTATCTGTCTCGTGCACAGCTTGGATCTCTTCTTCCTCCAAAATTTTCGGTTGACTGTACCCCTCCTCCCCATTTATTTAAGCTCGTTATGTTTCTTTTCCTCAGCCGTCCCACAGCGACAAAGCCACAAATCCTGAAGTGCTGAAATGGATGAATGAACTTGCTAAACTGCGTAAACAACTGAAAGGTAGCTACGATTCTGCTTACACACACACACACACACACATACACGCACACACATCCACGCCAGTCGGCTTGTTGAAGCCTGTGTATCGGATGTGTGTAAAAGAGCCTGTGCTCAATCTGATGTGAAGGATTCTACGTAGAGCACATTGAGCGAGTGTCGTGTCGTGTTTTTTTACCTTGATACTTCAGAAGCTTGAGTCATACGTCTGGCAATTTTTCTTGAGGTCTCTTCTGTGCCACGTTGTGTAAAATAAGCATTGCATGTTTTTCACAACAAAAAAAAAAGTTGCCAAAGGTGCTGCAAGCTCCTCGCTGCCAGGCGAGAGCGCATTTCACCGCCCGACTCTGTTTTTTAACGTGCCAGATGTGAAGTTGAACGTGTCGGAGGAGGACTTGGCTCCTCAGGTTCGGCAACGCAGCAACACTCTCCCGAAGAGCTTCGGGTCGCAGCTGGAAAAGGGGCCCGAGCAGGAGAAGAAGCCGGACGTTGCCGAGAGAGCGCAGAAACCCACTGTGGACACCACGCTGGAGAGTATCCTGAAGAAACTGCAGGAAAAGCGTGTCGAAATGCAGCGCTCCGAGGACATCAAGGTAACCTTGGCCCGTGGAGACGTAGTCCACCAGCGCACCTTACCAACCTTCCAACAGCTCAGTGAATCCGCCACTCCAGTTCTCGCTCTCGAGGGATTGGATGGATGGGGATGAGGCAAAGGGAAAGTGATGGAGATGGGAAAGAGGGGCTGGAAGTGAGGGGGGGGTGGGGGTGGGGGGGAAACAATGGCGTGCAGTTTCTAGAGAACAGCCATAATATTAATAGTAATAATCCTTGCATTTGATATAGCGCTTTTCACGTCTTTGAGACGTCTCAAAGCGCTTCACAGAATAGACTGTAAAGTGAATTGACCATATATCTGTGGTCATAGTGAGAAGTGGTGTATTTCACCGTCAACGAAAGCAGCTTCCGGGGGACCGGTCAGGGCTGTTTTGCCGGCTTTTGTGAACTTAACTTCGTTGAGGACGACCTCTGACCTTACGAGCGGTGCTTATTGCCCTGGAAATTGGCCATTTTGTACTGGCTTTGGTTTGTGGGGGGGGGGGGGGCGGACATCGGATCTGGACAGGCGTGTTAGCGCAGGCCTGCGCCGTAGTAATCTCCGAGGTATTTTTCTCACGCGCTCACTTTATCGAGGATCTAATAAAAGCTGCTCCTTGCGTGGACTGTCTCGCTGCCCTTCTGGCGGGGTGGGGTGGGGGGGGGGGCGTCTCCCAACTGCTTTCACTGTTGCTCTCAATTCATTGGTGCTTTTATCCTTTTTGTGTCCCCCTCTGAACAGGACATGACCCGAGACCAGATATCCGAGGAAAAAGTGGCTCTTCAGAAAGGTCTTCTATATTACGAAAGCATCCACGGGCGCCCGGTAAGTGTGGCCGTCGGTCTGCGAGCTGTGGGGTTCGAGCTGTGCCACCCTTCGGGACTCGTTTACGAATGATTGGTCTCGAGGCTTAAATTGCTTGCAAATTTATCTTTAGAACGTGCCCATTACATGGTGGGGGGGCGCTTAACGAAAATGGCTTGGCACCCGAGCTGGGGGTGGGTGGGAGCCGGTTGGAGGGGGTTAGTTGGGGGGAGGGTTAATGAGGAGACGGATGACCAAAAGCGCGATCGAAGAGGTAGGCCTTGAGGCGGACCTTGAACGAGGTGAGGGAGGTATATTAGCCGAGGTTCGAATGAACATGGAGCCTTATTCAAATGCCTGTCTGGTCCTGGTGGGGAAAATGGATCAATGCAAGGGGTGCAGGAAGCCTGGTGAGAAACCTCTCTGTGCGTCCACAGGTCACAAAGAGCGAGAGGTTGGTGATGAAGCCTCTCTACGACCGTTACCGACTGGTGAAGCAGATCCTGTCCAGGGCAACCACCATCCCCGTCATTGTAAGTACCCGTTGCTGTATGTAATGTAGCTCGTTACTGGTAGAGACGGCGTGAGAGATTGTGTTCAAAGCCAAGCTGGAAATGCCAAGACCACGAGCCCTGGAGGTTCTCCTGTGAAGTAACTAAGGTCCGCACACTGGTTAATGTTCAGAAAGCACGGTGACCGGGGAAATCTTGCCGGTTTGGGCATCTTAGTTTCTCAATTATTCTTTTTCGCGTCACTGTGCGTAACGAGGCTGTCCCGGAGCAGAAACGGGTGTGTGTCCCCTGAACGTCGAGTCCCAAAGTAGCGCGGGGCGTTTTATCGCATTTCCATTGCCGGCGTTTTCGTTTGCGATTGCTAGATTCCGAGCCCTGCCGCCCCTCTGTTCAATGTTAATCTACGCAAACGTAGCGCTCGCAAGATCACGCGAAGCTGCACAGGCTGCAAGTGTGACGTTTGCTCGTCCGGTCGTTCGTGTGTAACCGTGGTCGGTGGTGGGGGGGGGGAGTGGGGGGTGAAATGTGTGCGGCTCTCTGACAGGAGAACTGAGCGGCCTTTGCGATAGTCACTCCTTGAGAAATCGTTGCTCTGAGAGTTCCAGGAGACGAGGCGACATTCCACTTACTTCCGTTGGCTACAGATCTCTGTTCCAGACAATCGCATCCATTTCAATTTACCACGAAGAGACACGTGACTGTCTTTGCCGGCGTTCTGGGCAGAACCCCCCCCCCAAAAAAAAATTTCAGCTTGCACACGAGGTCCCTACCTGTTGGGCTGGTTTTCTATCCGATTAACTGCGATTGTCTAAACTTTAGTGGGTGAACGGTACACAAGCAGATCGCCGTTGACTGCTCGGGATGAGGTAGTAAAAGTGCCGTTGATTTGCCTCCAGGGTGAATTGCGGAGCTTTACCTTGCCTTCGCCAACAGGAACTTCTTTATTTTCGTTTCGATATTATCCGTGAATTGTTGTGCTCATCGAGATGGGATGAAACAGCAAAGTAAGGGCGGGGGGGGCGGGTGGGGGGGTGGGTTGGAAACGGAGCTCTTGTTCCCCAAGGTTATTTCTCATTCGAGGCATGCAATGTCAGCGTCAGCAAAAGCACATCAGGAATAGCAAAGGTTAAACCCAGAGGGTAACCACCGCACTCTGCTCTCCAAGCGGAAACTCTTGTTCTCCCGTTTCCCACATCAGACATCCAATATCTTCGCTGAATGAGCTCCTAAACATAGTGGCCGGTGAACCCCATGAGGGAGGGAGGGAGGGAGTTTTCAGCTCTTGCAATTTTAAACAAACAAAAAAAAGTAATGTAATATGGGGAGATCTTCGTTCTCCTGGTGTTAACTCTCAGACACTATTTCAAATGAGAACATTTAATCAAACGTTATGCCTATGTTTTCCCTTCGCTTTTTTTCTCTCCGTGTTCCTTTGTTTTAAACTCTTGTTTCTGTTAACACGCGGATTGGCTTATATTGAAGGTCCCCCTGCGGACCTGTAACCAGCTTCCCGCAAACTTTTCTATATAAATATATATTATATATAAAAAAGACTGACTTCAGGTTATCGGCTGACACCATTTCCTCCTCACTGCACATGTCAGAGAGACAAAATTTTGTCAGTGGTGACCTGATGACCCGGAAATCGGCCGTTTTTGTCTTCTTTTTTGCCCAGGAAAACAACTTTCTGCTTTCGTGCCCAGTGACCTCACCAGTCAGCACCTTAAAACACCGGTCACAATTTTATTGACCCCCCCCCACCCCCCCCACCACCCTCCTCCCGCTGCCACATTATATTTAAGGCTTCACTATATTTTCTAACTTTTAACATGGGCAGAGGGTAGCTTTCCCCCGGTCCCCTCCCTCGCTGCTACTGTCCATTTTGAAAACGTCCCAATTTAATTTTAACCCGAGTTGCTACGTTGGCTAGAAGCCAGTTTATGGCAAACGGCAAGTTGAAAGACTGGTGATCTGACAGGGGCCCATCATAGGGAATCCAGCATCTCGACGAGCACAATATTCGTTTGAAGCAACATTTCCGTCCACGTGAGCCATAGCACTGTTCAGCACAAGCCCCGATTTCATCAGGGCCTTCTGTCAAAAGCTCCCGAGGAGTAAATGTGAACAACGAGACTATCTCGGACTTAACCGAATTTTTCTTTTTCTTTTTCCTTTTAAAAACTGCACTGTTTGAGGTATTTGAATGTTGACTCGATTGCGTTCCGTTAGGCAGTACGATATTTGCAAGAATCCTCTACTGAACTCTGAAGGCTCTTGAAATGGTGTGTGTTTCTTTTTTTGTTTACCTGAGGTTGAACGAGTCCTCAGTGCTAACAGCGCTGTTTCCAGTCGTCGACAAGAGACGGGTTGGAGGACATGTGCCAAATTTAGGAGTTTTATCCAGGCTTTTTTTGGGTGGGGAGGGGGTGGGAGCGCGGAGGAGAGGGTTCTTGACCTGTTGCCTAACATGACTTACGTGAGAGAACATTTCAACTACTCTTTATTTAAGAGTTTGCTAAAGCTTCGGATTCTCTCGGGGGAGATCAAAAATAGAATTGAACATGGAAGCCTGTCAACACTGGGGGAGGGAGGGGAGGGATTGGGAGGCTGGGATTTGACTCTGATTTACAGTCCGGACGTACCACAAAGTAATGAAGTAACAGTGGCCTAACAGAATAATGCGGAGTAACAGAGAAGCAAGCGCTGGAGTGTCTGCTGGCCTCTCAAAGTCTGCCTTGGGCCACCCAGAAAAGCTCCACGCATTTTATCCTGGTGTTTCCTGCCTCCTTCCCCATTCTCCCCACATCCGCGCGCGCGCGCGCACGCACGCACGCACTGAGCAAAGTTGGGGGAATTGTGCTCTGATCAAGCCGACTGAGCTGTAGGAAATGAGTATTTGCTGCTGTTTTGGCCTTCGGGGTGCTGGGGCGAAGGAATGTAACATGCTTGTTAACACCATCACAGGGTTCCCCTTCCAACAAGCGAAGAAGCCCTTTGCTGCAGCCAATTATCGAGGGCGAAACTGCTTCATTCTTCGAGGATCCAAAGGTGAAAACCTCCCTCCCCCACCCCCCGCCCCCCGCCCCCCCCCCGGCGTTCACTAATTGCTGATCTTTCCAGACGTTCCAATCCTCTTGGTTTCCTTGATTGTTACCAGTTTGATGATTTTACCTGTAGTGCCTGTCCGTGACGCTGAGAATCATTAATGGCTACAAATGCAGGCTCTAACCTGATGTGATTTGCAACGGCTTCTTTAATGATCTGTTAATCAAAGCGAAGAAGTATTGTGTGCGTTTTAAGCAGCAAAAAAAAACGAGGGCGGGGACTCAAAGCGACAACATCCGTCGGGGGTTGAGGCTTCGGGTTGGTTTGGGGTTCGGGAGGATTGGGTGGAGGGTCCCAATGGCTTCAGCAGGGAGGGGAGTAAATGAACGGGGGTTAAATGGGAACAATCTAGTAACAATAATAATCCTTGCCTTTGAGATATCGCCTTATCACGTCCTCCAGGCGTCTCAAAGCGCTTCACAAGTGTATACTGTACAGTGAGTATCTCGGCGACGTGGCCACCAGTCCCTCAAATGAAATTTGTCATTTGTTTCGTGGCTGATTTTGGGACATTGCTGTGCGCAATCGGCTGCCGCATTTTGCCCACAAAATATAAAGTCAATTTACTTAACAGTATATCCTGTGAAGCGCTTTGAGACGTCTCAATGAGGTGATAAGGCGCTGTATTAAAAGCAAGAATTATTAATATTAGTATGATTATAGAGATCTAATTGTAAGGGGAACATCAGTTTTGACAAGTTATGTACAGTGAAATCCAACGTAGAATACTTTCCCTTCGTGAAAGCCTGGCCAAACTGTTGAGCGCATGATTGAGACTTGTGTTTTCACAGCAGATTGGGCCCCAATTTAAGACGTCTTAAATCGGGCTCCAGTCACGGATATTCAAAAGGGGACCAGTGTGCAGTGAGTCTGCAGTTAATTGTACATTTTACTCTCTGTCCATCTGTTCTGTGATTCATCGTGTTATGGATGTGATCTCTCTGGCAGCTGTTTAAGTTGTGCAATTCCAAGCTGGAAGTATCTGAAAGCATTTCTCCAGCCCCTCTTTCCCCTCCTCCTCCTCCCCCTTCTCCCCCCCCCGCCCCCCCTCGCCGCCCCCCGAAAGGATCTTTGGGGATAACATTTTGCTTGTGCCGGTCGGAGTGAATTTAACCGTTTCCCTTGAGGGAAAAGATCCATTCTATTCGCACGTCGACCAGAGTGGCAGGAGCGACGCTGCCCCACCCACTGGGCTGGCACCCACGTTCTCTGGCGTCGGGATCCGCAAGGCTGATTGGGCGCCGGTGCCCGTCGGGATTGGCAATGGAAACCGGGCCGTGGCTTTGCCGGGATAATTAGCCATTGGTGTCACGCTCTGCTTTGCTCTGCTGCACTGACCTCATTAAAAACGTGCACCGGTTGCCTGCACCGCACCGATCCACCTTGCGCCCGGAGCAAGATCAAAATCTGCCCGGGTCTCGACCTCTCTTCTCCAGGATTTCCTTCCACTCCCACCACCGCCGCCGCCACCACCACCACCACCCCCGCACTTTGATGCGCTTCACAGGGTAAAAGATTAAAGGGCCAGGCTGCCAGCAAACCAAACATTGCCTGTGGCGCCTGCAGTGAGCACGTCCCTGATTATTAATGAGAGGCTCTGAGATCAATGAGTTTCCGTTTCTAGCTCGCCGGATATTTTTTTCTCTCTCTCTCTCTCTGGAATCTGTAACCGTTTTCCCTTTCGCTCCGGTTATTAACTGACTTGCCCAGAATCAGACCCAGCCTATGTGCCCGGATGGTTGTCTACACGGACCAGATTAAGACTTGAGGGGAGCGATGCTTTGAAAGAGAATCGGTGCATTTTTTTTTAAAGTCTGCCAGTACATCTCTCTCCCTGAAGCCTGAAAGGATTACTGTATCCATCCATCGTGTTGCTCTGCTGAGAGGAAGTTATTGATTTTTTTTTTTGCTGTAGGTCACTGAGTAGCTCCTGAGGCTTTTTTTGTTTTTTGGCCTGGATTAACGAATTGTCTGCTCCCCGCCCCCTTCTGCTATTGAGCCAGAGTTGACTGCTCCTGGTTGCGAAACATGATGCCAAACACACGTGTCCCGCTCCTCCAAACGCACGCACGCACACGCGCGCGCGCACACACACAAACTCTCTCTCGCAATGTTTCTGGCTGCTCTTTACGCAGGTTCTATTCATCGCGCTGAGAGCACTGATGAGTGTCTCTGTCCTTTAAACGCTTGCACCTTCCCTGTGAGAATGCAGTGGTAAAATGCCAGAGCTTCTTTTGCATGCGCGCGAGTGCATGTGCGTGTGCGTGTGTGTGCGTGCGCAACTGTAAAACATTTTGACGTGACGGGAGCTAATACCTTCACAGCAGCGACGCGGTTTTGTTCAGGCTTGTTATCAGACTTCAGGAACGTTTGCTTTTAGTGCCGAGCCTTTACTGGGCATCTCCGAGCAGCATGGGTCGTAAGTATCTGTTGTCCTGCGTTCAAAGAGTCCAGCACCTTGGGCGCTGGTTGACGGCAGACCCGGGAAGCTGCGGTGACTTTTGTGCTCCAGGGTTTGCCCTCTTGCGAGAGATTGGCACTAGCGTTTTGTGTCAGACTCGTGGAGGCATGTTCTGTGGCGTGTGCTTAACGTGTTCAGTGTGCGGAATAAGACCCAGTTACTTTGCTGTGCAGTACACATGTAACCGTTGGTATTTTCAGAGTGTACCATCTTCCCCTTTGAAAGAGTTTAAAACACCCCTTTCTTTATATATATATATATATATAAAAAGTTCTGTTTTCTGGTGAATTTATGAACCCTTTATATCCTTTATTTTTTAAAAAAACAATCCAAATGAGAGACCTAATTGGCATCAACCAAACCGGGTTCAGAGGTTAGAATAACGGCTGCTGGATTGATACCCAACTCGCTTGACTCAGATTGGAATAAATAAACAAGAATAGCAATGGGAATCGCTTTCCATTGCGGTGGAGCAGTTACTCGATGGGATTTTTGTGGGGTGGTGGGGGGTGTTTGTGGGGGAAGGAAATGCTTGAGAGAGAGAGAGAGAGAGAGAGCGCGAGTATCATTGCAGAGGGTAAATGAGAGCGGGGTGGCTTGGTTTGCAGGACACACTGCAGGAAAGCAGCTGCCAGCATATGAGTCGGTGTTGAATTGGGATCGGTTCCGGTCCTGCTACCTTTCGAGGCTGCGAGGAATTTTTCGGGTGCGGCTGGTTCAAGAGCGTGTTGTCTGGTTAGGTTATGCCACGGCTGCTTCTGAGCTTCAACTGGACAGGAGTGTTGGCCCAGCTGCTCATCACTGGCTTCTACCTTTAGGGAGTGCGGTGTACTGGCTGCGCACACTTCAGGTGTAGTCCATCTGCCCCGTTAGTTACCATAGTGCTGACTGTTTCACCGGAGCACAGACTGTCGAGAGCTGTCTGCACGGGATCGCAGGTGTCCGGCTGGATTTCACCACGCTGACTGTGAGCCCCGAGCTACGGTGGGCAGGGTGGGGGAGCAGGGGGGAAGCTGAGGAGGGCGGGGGAAGGTGGCCAAAAGCATGGTCAAAGGTAGCTAAACGCCTGGTCAAGGGTAGGTCACAAGGCGGGTTTTCAAGGCTAAAAGCAGCAGGGTGAGGAAGAGAACACGGGGATGGAGTTCCAGAGAGCGGAGGGAGCTAAACGGCTGAAAGCTCGGCCACCGCTGATGGTGAGAGGGCAGGTCGGGCGGGGGCAGGTTTGCTGAGCTGAGAGAGCTGCGTAGCTTGTAGCAAGTATACAGGGGGACAGTGCCCGTTTTTAAAAAAAAAACAATCGCAGCGATCGGCTCTGGACCGGCGGGTTGCATCCGGTGCCGGGGCGCAAGTTCACTCTCGCTTTTGGCAATGTTTTGGTGATGTGACTTGCCGCCAAAAAAACAATCCATCGCGTAGCAGAGTTCCTGCAGGCGGAGAGTTCCGACAGGATTGCTTGTTACGGATCCACGTTAACTGTTGGAAGTTGGACACCACCTTCCCTTCTCCGCCCCCCCCCCCCCACCACCCCACCCTCCAGTAGGTTAATAGTTGCGTTGTGTGACCAATAGAAGATGGTATACCTGATGGAAAGTACCAGGTTGGCCCTCCACTTTGTCCTGCTGTTCCACGACGGGTGCTTTGTGTCGTTTCGCCGAATACCTACCCGCCAATGGTATGTTTGTTTGTTTGTTGACAACGTCCTCCCGTTGCCTGGCTTTAATCTCCCTCCTCGGACTATTGGACGTTCAATTGGGTTTTTCTTTTATTAATGACCGAGCCCCGGCGTGGCTTTTGTTCTTCAGGAGGAGGAGGACGGCTCGGAGGAGGACTGCAACGCCAAGCCCGACTTCACGGTCCCGGTGAAGCCAGTCCTGACCATTCGCAGCTTCCTGGACCAGCTGGACGATGAGGCAGAGGGCTTCGTGTCACCCGTGGACGAGAAGGCGGCTGGCAAATGCACCCTTGATTTGAGGCTTTCTAACCTGCACTCAGCATCCATGTGAGTCAAAAATACAACTGCGTTCCCCCCACCCCACCCCTGTTCTTATCTCAGTCCTAGTCACATCTCCTCTCCTCCTGACTTGCAGGCATTGCCTTAGCCTCCCTCTGTCCTCACACTGTTATTCTTCCTTGAGTTCAACCTCAGCCTTCGTGCATCTCTGCTCTTGTCCTGTTTACCCCTCGCGCGCTCTCTCTCTCTCTCTCTCTCTCTTTCTCCCTCTCGCTCTCTCCTAGCAAGTGGAAATGGACGTGGCTTTGGATGCTCAGCTTCCAATTGGCTGGTGCTAATCACGTTGGGATCAGTCTCCTCTTTCTTTCTTCAGCTACACTATAAAAGTAAATTTTTGAAAGATTATTTTTGGGATCATTGAAACTCCTTTTCCCCCAAACCCAGCTCATTCTGTGTGTCTGATCCTTGTGAGTACTTAGTACTGATTGTACAGTCAGTTTTAGTGGCTCAGAGAATTTTGCCTTGTCACTCAGCTGCATAAAAAGGTCGGTTGGGTGTTGCGGAGGGATATTAATAATAATCCTTGCATTTGATATAGCGCTTTTCACGTCGGGAGGACATCCCAAAGCGCTTCACAGAACACACTGTAAAGTGAATTGACTGTATATTTGTGGGCGAACGCGGCAGCCAATTGCGCACAGCAATGTCCCACAAACAGTCGTAGATTGAAAATGACCAATTTATTATTGTTTTTGGTTTTGGAGGGATTATTATTAGGCTCTGTGTGGAGTAAGGAAACTTGCCCGAGGTTTCGCCCTCTGCCTGGAATTGAACTCAGGTCTCTCACTTGCAAAGCGAGTGCTCTAACCACTGAGCTACAGGACTCCACAAAGAGATTGCATGGCCGAAAGGGCCTTCTTCATCCAGACCGTTCTCATGACGTGCATCTCAATCTCTATAAGAGGAGAAAACTAGTCATTTCTACCTTCTCGTCGGTCTGCAGTAACGTAACGCACTGACTAACATTTTCCTCTTGATGTCGTTAGGCCCGAACTGCTGGAGCAGCTACAGGAAGCCAGAACAGACAAGAAAAGGCTCCGCAAGACTCTGCGGGACTTTGAAGACACGTTTTTTCAGGAAAACGGAAGGTAGATTTTCACGAGGCATCAGTCGACAGTTTGGGGATGATGGGGGGTGGGGGGGGGGGGCGGAGAGGGGAAATGGATGATTCATAAACCATTTTTTTCTATAATTCCAATAACTTTGAGGAACATGGCTGTGAGAGAGATACAGCATTGCATTGCTCGCTGTGCAGAAACCGTGCTGGTTCTTCTAATTAAACCGAGGAGTACCTTAACCATCTGAGGACCCAAAGCCCCGTCTCGCACTGGCTTAGGTTCTATATCTGGTTCCGCTCTTGCAGTAAGAGCTGTGATGACGTTGAGTGACCGGAGACTCGATGCTCTGTTCAGTTACACATTGGCTGCCCTTTACGTGGCCCTCAAGTGAAACCTGATCATGTACAGTAAGCGGGCACTTGCGTAGGGGATGGATAGTTTCCTGCTGCTCTGGCAGAGCGACTCGAGGAGGAGGAGCCCAGCAGGTTAACTGACCAGGGAAGCTCCCAGCTTCGAGCAGCTTTCGTTTCAAACCTATTCCTCCCGTGTCTACCGAGAAATGCTCGAATGGAACGGCGTATTAGTGGCGTGGAGAGTATGCTAAGTGTGCCAGTGTCAGATGCTTTGCACAGATCAGCCCCTGACAGAGAAACGATTGAGTACTCGGAAGTCTCGATGCTCTGTACGGGTACCAGTAAATGCCTTCACCTTTAATACTCGGTTGGTGATTGTTTACACCAATAATTAATCACTAGGGAGACCAACAATGATGTCTAGTCCTCACATCGTTCCTGGTCTTATTGGGGGGAGGGGAGAGTGACCTCACGGCTGTGATTTCACGCTCGGGTGTAGTCGCGAGCTCCAGATATCTGAATCCCCTAATTAAATGAAATCCTTCCGTCTTCTGTTCTGTCACGTCGGGTGCCTTGACACAAGCAGAAACCCACCGCCGCATCTGTAGAAATTTATAGCGCAGATGAAGGCCAGTCAGCACCTTCCGTCTGCACCGGCTCCTTCAAGAGCAATCATTCCTTTCCCATTTACCTGCATTCGCATGTTCCTGCCTTTATAGTCGGTTTAGCCAGTTGTCCAATGTTCAATATATAAACAGCATCAGCTGCACCAATGTGGAGTCATTGCTTTTCAGTGGGAGCGGAAGAAACAACCCAAAGGGATTGTATCAAGTACAAAGATTATTATTATTATGAACAAAAAACACACACACACTCTTGCTCGCTCTAGCCGTGTATTCAAGTCGCTCTCGTTTTGCTTTTCTTTTCCATAGAAACGTGCAGAAAGAAGATCGTGCGCCTATGACCGAGGAGTACAACGAGTACAAGCACGTCAAGGCAAAGCTGAGGCTCCTGGAGGTGCTCATAAGCAAGCAGGATTCTTCAAAGGTCGTATGAATCCTGAACTGGTCAGGGCATTTCCAGATTTCGTTGCCACTTGTACTTGGCAAGGTGGTCGGTCCCGCAGAGAAACACTGGCTGGAGGGGCCATTGTGGGTTCTTGCTGTGCAGTGCACCGTAGCGAAGGCTGATGACAGTGTATTTACTGCCCCCCTGCCGGCCTTGCCTGCCTGCTTGCCCGCCTACACACCCACGCACCATCCTTTGGAGAAAGATGACCCGACAGCAAGCGATGGACCACAATTGCAGACGCCTCTAATCTGAGAAGGGTTTGCTATCCACCCAGTGATTACTGCTGCCAAACCTCTCAGCTTTTCTGAGAATCAAAATGTCCAGATGAGGGCGGGCGGTGGGGTTGGGGTGGGGGGGGGGGGGGGGGGAGGGCGCGGGGATGAAGAAATGCGTTGATTTTTTTTGGGCTGGTGGACAAAACGGTTTGAGAAGCTGCGGTGGATGGTTCCCAAACCGAATAGTTGCATGAACGTCATCTGGTCCCCCTAACCACTGCGCGGCCCTTCAGTGACTGCCCTGAACCACGCAATCACCGTGGGCTGATCCGCCCGAGTAAACAGTCGTTTGGGCGCCGAAGCCTGGCTCCTGCGAGGCGCGGCGATTTAAAGACTAAAGCCACGACGTCTCTTTTTCTCACGGGTACGAGTTCAAAGCTCCCCCGGGGAAAGCTCTTCACAAAATAAAATTATTGGCAGCCCTTTTTTGGGGAGGGGGTGAAAAAAAAAACACGTGCGAAAGGCGAAACCGAGAGATTCTCTTCCTCCGAAAGTCGCCCTAGTAAAGGTAGTTACCAAAGAAGGATCCGTTTTTGACGACCTAAGATGTGCGCCGACTTACGAGGACAGGAATTTAGAACACGTGAAGATCTCTACTCTCGATACCGACTGATGTTATACATGATGTTATATTTGATTGATTGATTGATTGATTGATTGATTGATTGATTGATTGATTGATTGATTGAAACAATACTGGAGGCCGCCGTGCGCAATTGGCTGCCCACGTTTCGGCCGCAAAAATACAGAGTCAATCCACTTCACAGCGTTTTATTCCGTGAAGCACTTTGAGGCGTCTTGAACGACGTGGACACTGTTATCAAATGCAAGGATAACCGTCGTTATATTTAGTGGTTTCACTGAGGTGGGTAATCAGGAGGTGCCATGATGACAAAACTTTATATATATATATATATATATATATATATGTGTGTGTGTATATATATATAAAAAAAGAAATGCAGCTCTTTGTAACAGAAAGTTGCGGTGACTGACTTTCGGGGGGCGATTGTTGATGGTGTGGGGTCAGACTCTGAAACCGATTGCACACACGCTGTGTGTGATTGCCTTCGATCATTCGCAGCCGAGGCAAGCGTTTAGATACAGGAAAAACATCCCACATTAAGATTTCACCTGCAGGTTAATGTCAAAAGCTTTCTCCCTGATGCCAACCGCCCCAGCCCCCACCCCCACCGTATAAAAAAAAATGTTTCGCCGTATTGCCCGACAGACACGGTTGAGGCGTGTGTTGCGCACACCCTTAAAAGGACGAGGACCTGACTTGGACCTTCTTCCCATTTGTCGTAACTGTTTCTTCTTGTCCGTGTACGACTGCCTCGCATGATGTTGGTAACGCGGGCTCTCTCAAAGCGATGGCCAGACTCTGTCTGCCTTTGGTAAACTATTCAGTGTGAAGAGTGGGTGGGTGGGTGGGTGAGCGGGGGGGGGGGGGGCGTTTAAGTTCACGAGTTGAGTAAAGAATCGCACATTGTCTTCGATCTCAGTAAGAGTAAGCCACAGGCAAATCAAACTCTTACGATTTAAATGTGGACCATATTGAAATACTTGTACCTTTTCTTGGGGGTGGGGGGGGTGGGGGAGACCATTTTTTGAGCTACCTGTAGAATTTATATCGGGGCAAAATAGGAACGTAGGAACAGGAGGGGGCCACTCAACCCCTTGAGCCCATGTGAGGACCGAATTGCAGCACCGCAGTGGTTTGAAGACGTTCTTTTTGTGACGGACACCAGAGTCTTTCAGACAGCGGGAGTGGGACGTTTCACTTCGAAGCTCTCCTCGCATTATCTCCCCCACCCCAGTTTTAAGAACTGCGGAAAACCTACTCTCCCAATGAGACTGAATCTAATAATAACGCAATCCCAATTTTGATGGTGAAATATTCTTGCAGACTTGGGCTACAGGGAATTTCAGGCCACGTGTGGTGATGCCGACACTTGGCTCCCACAACTACACCCGTTTTCTTGTCGGGGCTGACATTGTTTTTTTTTGGGGGGAGAGATGATGATGATGCCACACGCTCAGGATATGTGAATTTTTGCAGCCTTTGGTGGGACTGTGAGTGCCACAGAAGGCGCTAACGTGGGGCTGGGAGCGTTGGGAGTCAGACCGCCAAAGCCATAGAAACAGTTCTGATGTCGGTGGATGTAATGTGCATAAAGTCAAAGCTTTTACAGGCTTCGTATCTCCTATCTGTCCCCCGCAGGCCTGTCTCAGGAAATCTACTTTTTTTGCTCATTTCTTTCAAAATGACCCTCGCGGACACTCGTCGTGTCGGTGATGTGGATGACCAGTGTAATAGGCAACCTGTTGCACTCTTATGTGCAAGAAGGAATCCTGGATATCCGCCAGCAGTTGTCTGGTGGTACCAATACCAATGGGAGAGAGCACTGCACCAAGTATTGTGTTTACTAGATATGTGTGACATTGCACGAACCTTTACAGGTTTACAGTGATATTTGGGCATTCAGTGATCCTTTTGTGCCGGGCAGCTGTCAAAATGACTTAAAATTACAAGAAAGTAACATCGTCTACGTAGCATGTTGGATTAAAAGTTGTGTAAATGCTAGCTCGCTGCAATCATTATCTCACTCTCTTTTGCTTCCACGGGATTAGGTGCGCCAAGCTTATTTTTTTTTCGTTGCACGCTTTCGTACACCAGTTCTCGCTGCTCTTCCTCCGATTCCACTGAAATGGTCGGAAACCCAAGGCCCATTCTTCACGTTGTTGGTGTGTCTGTGATCGTGTGTTAAAACGAATTGTGGCACGGCAGGAGCCCTAACACTACTTACTGCACATTGTGTAAAAATCAGGGCCAAGTTGCGCTCTTGGCCTTGGATCAATGTTTACAGGTGGGGAGAAAATGTCCAGAAAATGCAGACTGTACCGACCGGTGTTGCATTTTTCTTTGAATGTAAACACGAAGAATGGAAACTATATATAGATGTGTACATTTTAGTACATGATTGTAATTGTATTTTGTACAACACAAAAAATATATTTTTGCTGTACGTGCTAGCATCATTGTATTTGTCTGATTTAACAAACACTTTATTAAATAAACTGTGTACACAGACCTACCTATATTTGAAAATGTTATATGTCCCCAACCCAGTTTAAAAAAAATGTTGCTTATTAAATATTTCTAGTCTGGTGTAGACCGCTACTTTTCTCCTTGAACTTTTTTTCTGTTGGGTTTGTTGCATTGTTGTAGAACCACAGAGTCGAAGCATCCCTTAAAAAAAANGTGCTTCACGGTAACATGTAGGACCTATGTTTTGGATGCTGTGGATTTATAATGACCCTCATATTTGGCATAGTGCCTTTAATGTCAAGTGGATGCCCTAAAGTGCTTCACCCAGCGTGCTGTAAAGTGGAGTGCCTTTTTTCTGGGTGAACATGGAAGCCAATTTGCGCACAGCAATGTCCGACAACCAGCTATGAAGGGAAATATTGGCCAGGACACAGAGCAAAACTCCTTTTTTCTTTTCAAGCTGTTCCGCAGCTGCTTAATGGCCACCTGGATATACAGGCAGGAGCTCGGTTTAATGTCTTATTTGAACAACGGCACCTCCACCATTGCAACCCCCAGCGCTGCAGTGGAGTGTCAGCTTACACTATATGAGTGGAAGGTCCGTACGAGTCCCAGTCAGCAAGACGAACAGCATGCATTTACATGGCGCCCTTCACACGGGATAACATCTCGTGGCGCTGGACAGTGGTAGAGTCCGACAATGAGCCAGTGGGAGGATGGAAGGTGACCGTAAGCACGATCAAAAAGGAGGGTCTTCAGGCGGGATTTGAAGGTGGGGAGGGAGGGGGCAAGATGGAAGGATTGAGAGAGTTTCGGGTTGTTGTAGGCTGAAGGCACGGCAGCCAATGGTGGAGTGGAGGGGACGAGTCCAGAAGCAGCAGGTGGTGGAATGAGGGGTAAGCAGGTCAGATAGGTCGGGAGGTGCGAGGGCATGAAGGGATTTGAAAACGAGTGAGAGGGTCTTGAAATCGGTCAGTCCGGTGATTGGGAGCCAGTGGAGTCTGTACGGGTGAGTATTCAGGCGACGCCAGTTTTGAATTAATAGGATTTCATGTGGGTTGGAACTGGGGAGACCAGCGAAGAAGGCATTGGAATGGTCCAGCCGGGAAGTGACGCAAGTGCGGACGGGGGTTTCGACCGCGTCGGTCGTGAGGTACGGACGGAGATGTGGCGAAGATGGAAAAAAGCGGTTCCAGGTTCAGGGAACAGTACAATACAAAATTCTATGTGTATAGCACCTTTTACTTTGGGAGGCGCTGGACAGTCAGGGATTTGGACCCGAGCTGGGGTTTGGGATCAGGTTGGTAGGAGGACGGCTGATGGTTTCGGTTTGAGAGGGAGCGAGGGTAGGCATGAAGAGGCTCGAGCCACAGTTAGCCGTGAACCGTGAGGGCTGATTTTGTGCCATCTGCACTCGAGCAACCGGGTTTGGGATTTGAGGGATCGGAGGTGACTTGTACCAGGGGGAGCGGGTAGGTTTTCAGCGGGAACGAAGGAATTGAAAGTTGAGGAGAGGTGATCATTCAGCAGCTTGGCAGCTGCGCTTGGATCACTGCGGGTGGAAGGCTAGAGGGAGAGAAGGTCAGAGGATGAGAGGGCATTTGTGAGGGACTTTGGGGGAAGCTTTTTCCATTGGTGGAAAAAGATGTTGAAGGGCTTGAAGGAGGGGAGGGTGATATGAGAGGAGAGACAGATGAGGAAGTGGTATGTGATGGCCTTGCTGTGATGGACAGATCAGAGAGATGTCAAGGCCATGGGTGATGACGAGATCAAGGAGGGGGTGGCCACGGTTGTGGGTCGGGGAGTTTATGTGGAGGGTGAGGTTTAGTGTGGAGAGGAGGGAAGTGAAGTCAGAGGAGATGGAGCAGGGGGTGGAATTTAGACGAAGATTGAACAGGCACTTTTTGCAGCGGGACAGGGACAAGAGGAGCCAGAAGGTTTGGGGGTGAGCAAACATTTATGTTCGAACCCTTCAGACAACGTAGCAGCAAA